GCCCTCTTCAGATAGACCTAAAACATCCTTGGCAGCACCAGACGATAGTTCATGGCCTGACCATGTCACCATCGAAGCATATCGAGGCGTGGCATGCCTATGTCACCGACTCCTTGGATGCTCGCTAGGGATCCCTGAGGGGAAGCTGTGTGTTGGCTGGAATAGAGTCCATGACCAGAGTCTAACAGAGGGTGTTGGCAAGATCAGTCTCCTACCAGTTGTTTGCTTGTACCTATATAAGGGACAGACATTAACCCATTTTTTATATGAATTTCTATATCTTACAATTGTTTGCTTTATCATGAATTCATTCATGTTATCCAGCCAGTTTATTAGTTTTAATGGAAAGATATGGGCCGGTTATTGTTATATTAATGAATGAATGAATGAATAAATGAATGAATAGGAAATCGGTAACTCTGATCATAGTTGACATGAGGTTCCTGAAAATTGTTTGGCATTGTGGCCTTAAACAGCGCCCTGCAACTGCAGAAAGTCGGATGAATAGATGATATAGATGGCAGAATGTGGCATGTTTCTTGTGGCAAGTAAGAGGGTTGCCAAAACGTCCAAGTCCTGCCACAGAAGTCGGTAACTCCGACCCAGCAACTCCCACAGTTTCCAAGCGCATCTGCGCCCATTCATGCCCCGGAAATCGCTCTCTGGAGGACTGACTGTGAGACATGAAAAATGGCGACTGACTGTCGTGGTTTGGTGCCGTGCCTGCTTTGTTTGGATTGCTGTCACCCAATGTTCAAGTCTGGCAACGTTCGCAACCCAGGACCCAGAAGATCTCTGAAATGGCCTTTTTTCATTGATCGGAGCCTTTTCTCAAGGACTATTCCAGTACTAAGGATACTAAAGCTTGAAGCCAAACCTTAAGGGATATGAAGGGGATCCGTCTAGATCAGTTCACTCCCGAACTTCATTTGCTCGTCCGGAGCACTCCCTCCACCGGTTTCTACCGAGGTGAAGCACTCCCTCCGGAGCATGTGGTACAGGAGCCCGCATTTGGTCCGGAGCACTTGGAGTGTGTTGGTTTATGGACTACATCCATATCATTTGTATATATTTGTATATGAATCATGACATCCTATGCATATCCACATCTAAAATCACATCAAATCCATTTGGCTCAGACTTTGTCCATGTAAACCCATCCATTTTGCTCCAGATGTGGAGATGTGTAAAGCCAAATCATAGGATCTTAGACATTCTCAGACTTGATAAACCAGGCATTCTCGGGGGTGCGGTGCTTTTCCAGGACTGCATGGAGACCTTTGAGAAGCTTCCTTTAGAGGCCCGCCTGCACGGTGGGAGGTGAGAAAACGTCTTGAAAAGGCTACAGTGCCGTGCAGCGACCGTACCCTTCCTGGTTCAAATCCCAGTCGGACAATTCTTGGCAAATCGAAACTTGAGAGAACGCTCAAAAACTTGAGCCAAGGTTTCTGGGGAACCTAAGGACCTATTCTGAGAGAAGTCTAACTACTCCTGTACAAAGGCAGATGAATCAACTCACATTGATGAGTGGATTGCTGCGCAACCAATCAATAGCTGAGCGGGCCAAGTTCCTTTACGATTTCCCAAGGACACCGGCCTCTTCAGAGGCGTTCATGGATCTCCTAATATTTCTTCCCGACCTGTGTCGCTCCGACGCCAGACGCACGGGGAGTCCTTAGTCATCAATTGCCCAGGAAGGTCCGAGGGACTGGACGACGCGACGTGGGGTGGACAATGCCGTTTTTCCGTGCAGACTGGGCATACGACGTGGAAAGGCAATGGTCTTAAGACATTTCTTGGGCTTCCGGCTTTTGTTCTTCGACTAGCCCAATAGGATTGTTTCTCTAAGACGGAGAAATGAAAAAGATCGGCACATGTGTTTTCTGCTACTCTTGGAGGTGCGCAGGTGCAGGAAAGCTGGTGGCGACCTTACTAAGAGCCTTCTGCCGAGCGCATGCGTCGGCACAAACAGCTGGTGACGTTCCGTTCGTTTCGGCCAATGAAGTACAGAGAAAGCTGAGGATGTTGGTGGGAGCTGTTTGACCACTTAGTAAGGCTGGTACCTTGATCTATTCGCCTGACAGCTCCGTGTGTAACGATCTCAGAAAATCTGGAGTGGGCTGGAAAGTCAATCAAGAATGCAAAGAGGCGAATATCAGTGATTGGTCACATCACGTCTTTACTCTGAGCTACTCCGGTTGTGTTTCCTTTTGTTTTGCAGCACATTGCTACACTCGTTCGAGAAACCACCGCGGTTTTGGGAGACGTGTTCCTCGTTCGAGACGCCAAGGTTGGGCGGCGGAGCATGCCAAGGTGATCGGCCCCCGCGGTGGAAGGGTGGTGGTCACCCGAAGGCGGCCAGTGATCTGGGGGACATCTACGGTCGACCGTGAAGGGGTTGGGGGGATCAACTGATCCGGGTAGACGGAACGGTGCAAGAAAAAAGAGATCCCACTGAGCAGACTTGAAGGAGAGGTCACAAGAGACAGTGGCATCTCTCCAATGCCAATCTTCGCTAATGTCAGGATCAGGAGGTGGCTTTGTCCTGATGTGGTCTCAGTGTTGGAGAGCATGTCCAACTATCATTTGCGATAGATGGACACTAATTGGAAGATATTAGAAGACCTTACTGTTTCAAGCCAGGCCACGCAATTGACACATCGCGACGTGTCCACTCTGATGTGTGTCATCCGAAACTTGAGCAGTTTGTCATCGCGTCAGACTGATCAGTCAAACTGCACGGAGGCGTGGGTCTGATCCCTTCACCCGGCTCGCCGGAACAGGTCCGATCCTGTTCAGGTTCACCCCCGGTTCCGGCGCTGCCATGCGCTGCCACATCCCCCTCCACCCCTCCGGAGACCTGAAAGCGCTGCCAGACATGGGCAGAACGAGTTCTTCGGGTCCACTGAGGGCTCCGAGCAGAGCCTGGGATGCCCGGGCGGACCTGGCAGAGAGGTGCACTCGACAATTGGTGGATTCACGGACATGGACATGGAATCGGCAGAAACCATGTGGTTATCAATGTGGCATTCCTTTTTTGTGCTTCGAAACGATGAACCCCAAAAAAGCATCTCAAGTGGGTGGTCCGCGTGTCATATGTGTCAGCACCTGTCCAAGCAAGAAACCCATGTATAAGCAATTACTGTATAATCATATATTTATACAATATTTATATGTATATACTGTAACTTATAACTGAACCATGCACATGCACATCTATATAATGTATAAAACCCGATGAAGTGATGGATTTTCTTGCCTCTGGCGGGATTCAATCCAAGTCGCCCTTTCATTCGTTTGGACCGAGTTCGAAGCTGCTTCGAGGTCAAGACGCTCCCGGAGCGGATGCCAGCTATACGGTGGCGCTTCCCACCTCTGATGTGGATGCCTTAAAGAGCTGGATCTAGTGGATGGATGGATGGACGGATGGCCATGGGGTTCTTCTTGTACTTATTGTTTTCTTGCCACTTTCTAAAAACACTGAAATTGGAGTCTAAAGCGAATTCCACAGTCCCGGAGCATTCTTGTTCGTTCTGACTGATAGACTGAGATGCAATTGCTGTTCATTCAGAGGTGCTTCTCATGAACTGTAGCTGGATATGTCTATATCAGCGACCCACAAAATGATTGGCTTGCTTGTTTGGTCATGGCGTGCTTATGGCAGTGTTTCCATGGAAAACCAAGAAAACATAATATGTAATTGACTGTAGGATGTTGAAGGCATTTAAAAACGATGTGAACCCCACACATGATGAGAATCATGTCAGTGGTTTTTACTGTAATTATATAGATGTTTTGAGCATTCCTTAGCTACACTCATTGTACAAAAGATGATGTAATCTACTATGTTACGATGAAATCACGTTGCGGAATCCAAGCCGCCTTGTGGTTCGCTTTCTGAAGCGAGGTGTTGGCGCGGATGTCTGTGCCTGGGCCAAAGATGGCCTTCCTGTAGAGATTTGTTAGTGCGCGGCTTAGTGCAGTTGATTGGGGTTGGAAAAGCCAACTTGAAGCTTTCAAAGTGTGGTGGATGTTCCATGATATTCCAGAATCGACCAGCCCACAAACGAACCGTGTCCAATGCTAATCTTCCAGCCCACAGCCATCTGAAATCTTAGGTGGCGAAGCTCGCCGGTTGCAGGAAAAGGGCACCTTCACAGCTTGGTTTGTACACATTGCTCCTAATAGCGTCCTTGCTCCTAGTAGTAAGGCCAGGAGCCCCTAGTAGCGTTCTTGTTCCTAGTAGCATACACATTGCTCTGCTTGGGAGAGACTTTTGAAGGATCTCCAGGTCCGTTTGATTGTTGCGTCGCCACACGCTTGCGTCGGGACTAGCAGGCCTCGGGACTGTGTCTTTGTAGGGCCTTTCGGAACTGCAGGGAGTTCGGAGCTGCTGTTTCTGTCCTCAAAAATCTTGGGTCTCCCATCGTAGCCGTAGCAGATGATGTTCGACCTCGCGAGGTCGAGCCAGATCCTTGTGGGGTCTCACCTTTCCGAATGTCAGTCGAAGATCAATTCCGATCCTTTTTCATGCGAAAAGGGTAAGATTTCTTTGGGGCTCAAAAAGGGCAAGGATTCAGGATTACTTACTGTATATTACATATATAGTATAAGTCAGTATGATAAGTATTATATAATTTAATGATATAGATTTGGGTTCTGGCTGGGACCGAGGGCCACCGCCCGTACTGCCTTGGGCAGCAACCTTTTCATTTTGGCCACCTCGCTGGTTGTCTCGCAGCATCGACTGTTGGCTAGCTGGACATTTCTTGAAAAAGGACGGACACATTGGAGCTGGAAAATCTGGAGCAGATGTTTTTAATAAAGGGCTAGCACTTGGAATCGCATCCATATCCATGTAACCCCTTGACATTGGAACAAGACTCACTGGCAAAGTGGCCAGTGAAATGTGTGCCAAGCCTACTTATGCAGTTCACTCTTTAAGCTTTTGATAGCCCGACAAAAATGGTTCCGTTGATTCTACCGTTCAATAATTGTCTACCATCATTTTCTACTGTCATGTAGCCTCATTCAGACCGCATGTGCTTTGGTTCAGCAGCCAACGATGGTGGGGCTGGCAAGCTTAGAAGACGAACCAGCCTGCATGCAGCCATACAGCTGGCCCAGCTGCTTGAGATCGACTTGTTACATCTAGGCAGGAACCTTGAAAGTACGCAAAGTATTTATAAGTTCCACCGTAAAAGCGATAACTTTCTGGGCGGATAGCTTAATAGCTTGACTTCGTTTAGAATGTGACATGCGCTCTCTCTCACTCTCTCTCTCTCTCTCACTCACTCACTCTCTCTCTCTCTCTCGCCCACTCTCCCTCTCTCTCTCTCTCTCTCCCTCCCTCCCCCTCTCTCTCGCTCTCTCTATGTCATGCTCTAATTTGAGTGGTAGATCAGCATTGCCCACACCTCATTACAGCTTGGCTGTGGTGAACAATATTCACTGCATCAACAGCGTTTGAGTGAGCATTCACTGCTTTGCATCCCTTACGCTGCTTTTGCATGCATTGCAAAACATAACGATCATTCATGCTTTGGTCTCTGCCGCCACCCTGTTCTGGGCCCTCGGGGTATAGAAAGTCCTCAAGTATCCTCAAGCGCTCTTTTGGCTGTAGCCAAAACAAAAGAAGTTCTTGTGGCTTCCCTCAGTAGCTGCTGTTGGCCTCCTTTGGTTTGTCGCTTTTACGCCAGGTGGTCTTCGGTCAGTTCGTCCTGGGGCCCCCGGGCGCTGGCAAGCCGCCCCCGGCGAATTGAGCGACCACGGGTCGGTCTTCGTTGGAAAGGGAGCCAGAGGATGTCAGAGGCCAAAAGGATGGCACAGCATGACACGGCTTGAAATAGCTCAAATAGATTGAGTTTTAATGAGTTCAATCTATAAATATATAATATATTATATATAATATATTATATATATATATTAATACATATAGTTGAGGTATGTTGAAGTTGAAACCAACTAAACTGAGAAATGGAAGCTGTTAATCACTCTGTTTGTTCATGTGAATCGAAGCCTTTCTTTGGCGCATGCGTCATCACTGAACACATGTGTTTTTCAAGTGTGCCTGGCAAACGGGAGACTTGTTTATGCCAGCAAGCCTTATTTACCACAGTGAGAAGCCTTTAGGTATTAGGCGATACCTGAAGTTGATAGTCCAATCGGAATGAGTAAGCGAGCTGGTCGTTTGAACCTTCCTTCACAAGCACTCGCTGTACAAAGGTATGTGTAATCATACCTGCATCTTCCTAAGTATGCAAAAATACTGCGGTGTCCAGAAAACTTTGTGTGTGTGTGTTTGCGTGCTATTCGTTAAATAAACGAAACAGCACTGTTCAGCTGTTCTAATATGTGTTTACGTGCCTTTTTCCTGAAAATGGTGACAGAATCAGTGGAACAAAGCGGCACCCTCGCAAAACGGCTCAAACAGCCAGCGACAACACAGCGACCGTTTGGACGGTTGGACGAGTGCGACCGTGTTGAAGACAATGATGGTTTAAAGCGATGGGTTGGAACGGCACGTGTTTTTCCACGGCTGTCTGCAAGAAAGAAGCTGTAGTTTCACCTTTTTTACACCGGTGGACCCAGGCATATGTGTATAATGAATCAACTCAACTCTGAACATCGCGGCACATGCTGGCTCCTACTGACCTACTCATACAGCAAGAGCAAACCTTTGCATCGCAGCCAGGACCACCTATTGCACTGGCATGCAGCAGCTGCTGGGGGCGTACGCCTGACGGCAGTTTAGTACCTGATGAAGAGGAAATGGCGTTGGGTCAAGGTTCTAGAGGATTGCATACGCTGGTCCATTTTGCCTTTCCCAATTACGTCTTTGGGGCTCCATATTTTTGGACTAGCAACCAAATGCCACGTCATTCAAAGACATCCATCTACTTACTGCCTCTTGTCAGGGCTCTCAGACCGCGGTCTATCCTCCAACAAGGAAGACGTAAGTGACTTTCCAGGTCCATGGGGACTCGGGACTTGGGGATGGTGTTTATCAGACGTCCGACGATCAAGACGAGAGTGAAGTTTTCCCGGTGAGAAGCATATCCACCGAACGTAGGAAAAGTGCCGTGGAAAAGAAAAGAACTACGGCAACTCCATGCAACTACAGCAGCTTCACACAGTTTGGCTTCAACGTTTAAACATGTCTTTAGCAATTCTGCATGTTTGTGGGTGTCCCATCCCTCGTTTCTTTGGTGCCAGGCTCAAGCGTCCTCGGACCTTGATCAACTTGGACCCAGCCAACGACGAGTTGCCGTGCCCCCCTCCCTTCCCACACTCGCTGCGAAGCACAAACACAGTTCTATGGTTTGTGCTGTTTTGAGGAGTCTAACAGTTGGCAAGAGGGTTCCAAGAGGCTTTGGCTGAAGATTCAACGGGTTTGTTTCAGGCACATTAGAGTTCTTCAAGCTATTTTATGTCCAACACTTGTTGGATTCTTCAAGCGTAGATATCCTGTTTTCTTCTTTTGAAGAAGCAACTGTAGTGACTTCCTTGAATATGTTGAGTGTTAAGGGTCAGCTGCAACCTGGCAGGTACGAATGTGACATTGATGTGAGAGAGCTGGTGAATGTTGAGGCGCCGCAGACGAACGTTTTCGACCGGCTTGGATCACCTGGACGAACTTCAGACCCCCAGAGGCAATCAGTATAGTATATAGTCATTGCCTACCATTCATTGTTTTCGATTGATGATCAAATTCTTCCAGGAAGTTTGGCTCTTGGTGCACGGTTTATGGTCTAACTTCGAATATATTCCAGGCCTAAAAAGAGCGGCTTTACATCAACACACAGGTGGTGTTGGGTGTGTATGTCGGCTGTAGTGGTGTGTCGTTGCACAGATCCTGTGACCGTGCACCGACCAACATGACGAGTGACCCCTCGCCCTGCCTCGATCCGCCCCAGCTCCGATTGGAGGGATCCCGCCATCGACAGGATGTCATGAATGAGCTGGAGCTGGGCCCCAATGGTGCCCTTCTCTATGCAATGGAGTACATCGAAGTGCTTCACTGAGTTGGCAACTGTGTATCGAAATTCCGTAGATAGACGTGGAGATGGAAGACCAAAACCATGATGTTTGAGCCAGGGATTTCGTGCTAAGTCGGATCAGACTCATACGATAATTCTGTTGCAACCGATTGGCTTTCCTCCAATTTGCAGGGTTTGCATTCTGCCGAGGTCAATCTCGACTGGCTCATCACTAGAATCAGGCCCGTTACAGGAGATGAGGGCTACCGGTTCACACCTCATGGAAGGAAGGAATGGGCTGGGAGTCTGGGAGGTTTGAATATCTCTGACTTGGAACTGACTTTTCCAGTTTGCATTTCGGTTTGGAAATGTTTGGAGGAAAGCCGCGAACAGAAGGCATTCACCTCACACACGACCATGAATCAAAGCACACGTTATTGCTGGTTTTCTGGGTGATCCAGTTGTTTTCGTCCAGTGGTGTTTGTTTGTTCTTGCCATCGCAGATTGGGAACATCAAGGCCCCCAAATCTGTGGGATCTGTCGGATGAAAAACCAGAAAGCTCGGAAGACCCGAGAAACATCGGCATCGTGGTCCGGCTCGTGAGTGACCCGAAGATCTTTGGACACCGGAAATTAGGCCGGCAAGGACCTCGACCTTTTTGAACAACTCAAGAACTCTGGTCTCATTGGATGAACGACAAAAGAACTTGATTGATATTTGAAGCCAATTCATGTGGTAACATGTCCAAACCTCTTGGAGCTTTAGGTCTGAGATCTCTTTCCAAGACTTTTTGGCTCCTTTTAGTGTTCACCAGCCCGCCCCCGGTTTGCTACTGTTTGACCCACACGGTACAGTGGGGTCGCCCTGCGTGAACACTCCACAGCGGTCCGGGCGTCGTTCAGGCGCGCCACGGCGGAGTTTGCGGTGCCCTACCTCTTCATCGACTGTCCGGGTCAGGTGGGATTCTTGGATTGAAGATATCATTTCGTTATATGTTGGCCTGCAACTCAACCATCATCATCCACTGGGCCCTGGCAATAGCATAGACCGTTATTAGTTATTACAAAATATAAAATATATGTAATATAGAGCACGACGTGCGGACTCGATCTGATACGGCGCATGTTAGGCAGTAAACAGGGAGCTCAATGTCTCATCAGGCGGATGTTGTTGTTTTTAAACAGGAGTATTTTTCAGGAGGCGTCCTCTAGGACATAGTTCAACTAGTAGCGACATGTTTGTGGAAGTCTACGGAACCACAAATATCAGTGCTTTTAAGCAAGTTTTTGCCGGAAGTGGCCGGAGTAACTGTGCTCGCTGGCTTGAGGTTACCCAGAAGATCTCAGAAGTCACATTCCAGAGTATTTTGGATCCTTTAGACATCATACAGAAGCCCAGTGCGGTAGAACCACTTGAAAATGGACCAGGTCAATCTGAAAGCAGCACAACCAGACTAGTTTGCCAACGCCTTTCTCAAAAAAGTGGTACTCTGCTACACCGTGGCCTACTATTCAAATGTGAACAAGGTTTTCAGGTTGAAGGTCTAGGTGCAGGCTCAACACGGCTAAACTGTTTGCCATGGCGGAGATCGTGGAATACACCGCTGAACGCTACTTTGGCACTGCGGGGCGACCCCGCGTGGTGCAAGACACGCTGGGGGAGTCCCCTTGCTGGGATCCCCGCAGCGACACGCTCTACTGGGTGGACATCTCCGGAATGGCCATTTGCAGCTACACTGATCAGTCGAAGAAGGTGAGCCGCTGGCAGATTGGTGAAACACTGGGTTTCGTGGCCACCACAGATGACCTGGACGTGCTGCTGTTCGGTGGCGTTGGGGGTCTCTCTTTGTTCCGCAAGACGGATGGGCACATCACGCGGCTCTACCATCCAGAGCAGAAGGCATACCCGCAGAACCGCTTCAACGATGGGAAGGTTGACCCCGCGGGTCGGCTTTTTGCCGGCACGATGGACATGAATAAGCCCCGCAAGGAGGGGGTTGGCGCCGTTTACTGCATGCAGCGCAACATGCTCAAGAGAGTAGAGGCTGTTGGGGCAGTGACAGTGGCCAATGGCCTAGGGTGGAGCCCCGATCACCTCACGTTCTACCACACGGACAGCCCGACACTCACAATTCGTGCCTTTGACTTCGATGTTTGCACCGGCGCCGTCAGTGGCCCGGCCAGGACGGTGTTCAGGACCACTGAAGGTGCGCCTGATGGCCTGTGTGTGGACAGTGAAGGCTTTCTGTGGGTAGCCAACATCCGTGCGTCTCAGGTGCTGCGAGTGAACCCAACTACAGGAGGGGTCGTGGCTCGTGTCCTGCTTCCAGTCCCGGTGGTCACCAGTGTTTGCTTCGGTGGACCCTACTTCCGCACCCTCTTCATCACCACTGCCATGGGCACCAGCGACGCAGACGTGGCCGCATGCACGGATGTCAACGCCGGGCAAGTCTTCGCGGTGGAGGTGGACGTGCCGGGGATGCCCATGAGCCCTTTGAAACTCGATGGCCGCTCCACCTTGTAAGTAAAGGTTCATGATTCATTATTAACAATATTTAGCGCCAAACTAGAAATGCAGAGGTTGTTTTTTTGTGTCCTCCAATGGCTCTCGCGTTTTTGCAGATGTTTGGTACTTTTCCAGTTTTTCAGTGGTTTGTATTAGTCTCCCTTGTGTTCAGCTCCTCACACCTGCACCCAAAGTGGCAGCTTTACCAAGCTTCGCAGATCAGAAAAGCGCAGATCTTCCAAGCTTCGCAGAGCTTCGCAGCTTCGAATGAGGGTGTTTGTGAGTTGGTTCCCAGATGTGCGAAAGCGTCGCGGTGGTGAAAAAGTGGATCTTAGCAATCTTGACTCCACAATGGATCTTCTGGAGGATCCCTTTGGAACTTGTTTGGGAGGAGATGAAGTAGGCACTGCTAGCCACTCATCATTGCCAGCTTTGTGGCAGGACTGTGATGGTTTCATACCTATGTCCAAGGTGATTCTATATCTTTGCAAACTATACAGTAGCAGTCCTTTCCTTCTGATGTGAGGAAATGTTTTTACTAGGCTAGGAGAAACTAGACACTCCAAGATGTCTCATGCTACAGGATAATGCTCAGATTGACTGCGACTGCACATCAAAATTTTGACACCTGTGCTTCTCGGTCGAATCCCAGGCGATCCAAGCTGGACATGCTTGGCGGAGATGCATTGCCTTGTAAAGCTGCTTCGGCTTTGCCCGGCTCAAGCAAGTGGTTTAGCCAGCAGATGATGCAACATCTGGAGCAAGGCAAGTCAGGCGCAAGAAGTTTGCATTGAACATGTGTCTGGCTGCATCATGTGTCTTTTGTTTTTTTAAAGGCGTAAAAGGGCCGAGAAAGCTCAAGACTTCCAGGAAAAGTACGATGTATATAAGATCTATGCTCATGATCTAAGCTTTTTACAGGGCTGCAGTATTAAATCCTGGACAAAGACTTCTCCGCTCCGGGTTTGTCCATCCCCTGCGGCAACATCCAACGCGCCCGCCTCACGCGGCGGGGCGCCTCGCATGGTGCTGCAGGCGGGTCCTGGCGGGTCCACCCGATCGGTCGGGTCGGCGGTCGGGCACGCGGAAAACAACCGTCCGGGTGGACACGTGATGGTCCAGTCGGCAAGTCTCCGGTTTTCAGACGCACACAATGGGGACATCTCCATCTGAGGTTCCACATGGTTCCACCAAACAGCCGTTTGGGAAGATTCTTCAGATCCTGAAGTTCCCAAGAACAAACGTCAAGGTTGGATTCACAGACTTCTAGCCAGCAGAGTGGTCAATTTGGGGACTCCTCACGTCTCGTGAATGTTCGCCATTGCCGATTATTCCAGCTTTTTCCAAGGCCGCCAAACTGATCAAGGGACCTGAAAAAGGTAAAAGGGAGCTTCAAAACCTATCAAATTTTCAAAACCTATCAGAGGGGCGTGTTCAGTGTGACCTTTGGCTTCCCCGTGGATCTTTGCAAAGCTCCAAATCCCTCCAAACAGCATCCACAACGTATTCCCCTCTTTCTTGTAACAAGAAGCTACTACGCGTAGTAACAAGGTGCATCGCTACTAGTAGCAAGAAGCTATTAGTAGCTAAGTGCATTACTACCAGTAACAAGAAGCTATTTCTTCTCCCACTCTCCCAGCTTCGCGCCAGCATGAGCTGCTCCCGCTCCCGGCGCTCGCGCTCCCGCTCCGGGCGGGGCCGGCGGGGCCGCGCGCCCCGCCGCCGCTCACGCTCCCGGGACAGCCGCTCGTCCTCGAGCCGAAGCACCAGTCAAAGCTCCAGCAGTTGGAGACGTGAACGTGCCAGGCGGGTCGCGAGAGGTGGAGATGGATGTGAGGAAGGATGGCCTAACGATGGTAAGGATGATTTCCATATATTTCCATATGTGTTTGCCGGCACTTGGCCTCAGGAAAATAAGGAACCTCTCAAGAGTGCAGGGACGACCTCCCGCCCCGTGGACTCGTGGACATGTGGTTCGCCGAGTTGTTTGCTGGTGTGAGAATCGACACCTGGAGGAAGATGTTGGCAAGGAAGGAAGAGGAGGAGAGATTGAAGAAGGAACGTGAAGAATACCGACCCATGGCTGCCAATTTGGAATTGAATAAGAAAAAGTCTTTTGACACTTGAATCAGATGCACTTGATATGACCGATGAGGTTTTTGAAGTGTATGATTAGAGAGCTCGCATTCGCAAGGAAAGTTTATGCAAGAATTTGAAAGCTGGAGAGTGAAAGACTTGGAAGCCCGCAACAAGAGGGAAAAGGCCAGGTCTGGGAAAGGCTGCCACCTCAACCAAACCAACATGAGATTCATCCTTTGCGGTCTGTTGAGAAACAGCCACCCATGGCCCATGGCCGTAATTGATCTCGTACGTCCGGAAGTGAGCAGAAAGAGTCCTTTTGAAGCCTTGGATGAGGACAATTTGACTGACTCAGTTCATAGACAAGTTGATTGTGGTTTGAAAGAGATGAGATAATGAATACCCGCTGATCCCGCTATGGGTATTGCTTGACACAAAACGCATTCGTTTTGCTACATTATGTCACTGTAGCACGTACTATAGCAGGTGCACTTTGATCCTCAAAAATGTATGGGTTTGCAGGGTTTGTGTCCTTTCAGTTCTTCCCGTCCTTTGTTTCTCTTCGAGTTCCGACCACCGGACCACCCCGGTTCCAAGCGACACGCGGGTTCCTCGGTTCCAAGCGCATCGCAGGAATGGTACTCCATGCGCGAAGCCGCCAAGATTGAGGCGAAGCAGAAAGCCCTGGCCCCTCGGAAGTCACTTCCACTGAGGTAGTGTGTAGCTTCGCCCGTTTGGTAAGATGTATGATTTGAGTCTGTATCACCCAGGAAAAGGGAGACACCGAGACACCCCACAAAAGATCACGGAAAGGAGAGGTCATTCGGGTGAACACATGCAAAAACACTGACTTGTTTCGGACTTCAGGTTCACAACATGGCTCCCCGGCGGGTGTTTTGGTCGTTTCTTTACATTTGTGTTTTTCCTTAGCCAGGGCCTCACTCACTCAATTAAGTAGGCGCTTACATAATCAAGTAAGGGCGACTAGTTCGCTCCCAGCTGCTTAAGCTGCAGACTGGATGCAGGATAGCTCACGCTCGCACTAGTGATTTGGTTCCTAGATTTGGGGAAACTTAGCGTTGTGGTTGCATTGATGACACAAAAGAGGTCGCATCAAAACCTTCACTTCGTACAGAGATTTGGAGAGTTGTTTGAGTGTTCTGAGGGCTTAAAAGAAGACTAGAGGAAGATATACTAGGTGTCCTCCTGCTTTGATGCAAAGCCACATCAGATCTATTGATATCCCTCAAGTCCACGGTCCATGCCTTTCTGCATGGTTTCGAAAGAGCTGTGGAAAGGGATGTCGTGTTTGAATTTTCTCGATACACTTGATCACGCACATGAATAAGTATGTTTCTGCAAGGTAAGCAACAGGTACCATTTGCAGCTCTTGGTGGTAGGCACATGGCCGCCCATGACCGAGGAGAAAGAAGAAGAGCTAGAAAGAAGGACACGAGCAAGTTTTCATTTCCGGACAGGTATGCCTGGGAGGTTTGCGCAGTTGCTCAGATGGAGACAAGCGTATGCCGGCTCGGAGGAGAGCGAAGAAGAAGGCAAAAGAAAAAGAGGAAGCGAAGAAAAAGAAAGAAGAAAAGTACGCTGCTGATTCTTTGCACTGTTCCTCCGCATAAAAGTGTATGCATTGAGCTTTGACATAAAAGCTTTACACTTGTCCTCCGCCTTTGAGAGCCATGATTGATCAGATCAGATACATTCTCATTCAGACCCTCAGATCATCGAAGCGCTTTCCGTCCTTTTGGGAGGCAACACTTTTTCTACTAGTAACAAGTGCCACGCTAGTAGTAACAGGTGCCTTACTAGTAGTAACAAGAAGCTATTAGTTTAATTTAATGTTTAAACTTGGGAGGCAAGCAAAAAAGGAGAAGAAGGACCAGGAGGAGATGGAAAGGCCGCTGGCTTCCTCGCCCCACGGGACGTCCCGTTTGGGTGAGCGGAGGGGACGGTCACTGCTTTGTGTTCCACCAGCCCTTGGTGTCGGAGTGCAGAAACTTGAAAGACCTGAAATGTCGAGGACATGGCTTTTCTTGCCACATGGCACTGAATCACTCCTTGAAGTACATGTTACATGTATAAATACAAATCATGCAGTAGCTTTCTTGCCACAACTTCCAAGTGAGTTTCTCGTGTACTTGCAGCACCCTTCACTTTGCAAGACCCACTCAGAATGGCCAGTTCGGATGGTTTGGGCATTGCTGAGTATTCCCTAAGTCCCAAAAATGGTGGCAACCAGTTCAATTTACTTCCCGATACAAGTGTTGCTTCACAAGATCACTACCTCCAGCAACTGTGTTGCATGTCTCGTTCTGTTGGAAGGCTCACAAAGCCGTTGGTCCTACAGGTTTGACTGGCACATCAGGCGCATAAAGATTGCGGAAGCAGCTGCCGCACGACGGGAACGAGGCGGGACCAGGGCATAACGCAGGGCATGGGCACGAATCGGAATGTAGTGACTGTTTGGTTGGTTCGTTGGTTGGTCGGTTGGTTTGTTTGTTTGTTTGCAGTTGAGGTTTTCAGATGGTTTGTTTACGGTAGAATGATGTAGAATGTGCACAGTAATGCGAATGGAGTTGGCAAGACAACTCCCATTGATGCCTGGGAGAAGGTGCACATGTTTCCAGATTCGCCCACATCCACCTTAGTATATCGTGACAGTTATTGTTGCAATTTGTTGTTACATATCATATCTATATACACACAGCACATGTTCGATATTGTCGTCGAATGTCTTTTTGGCAGGAATGATATTCCTTTTTTCAGCACCACCCAGATTCTCTAGCTTTGGAGTTTTGGAGGCGGCCCGCGCTGAGCGGCCCGTCACTCAAAACAACTCCCTGAGCGGCCTGTGGTGTGTTCTTCGGCATTTGCCTATGCCGAAAGACCAACACCATTGGACCATTGGTTTCACAGGTGCTTGCAAGACTCGTGGTCGTCGTCCCTATTTGGAAGCTGCTTGTTCTGCGTCACCCCTACCGCACCACCACGGCAGCAACACCTATAGTACTACTACATACTACTCCCACCACCTGGACAATACAAGCGCTGCTGGTGCTGCTTCTGTTGCTGCTGTTGCTGGTGGTGGTGGTGGTGTCCATTGCGCTACCAGCACCACCAGCAGTCATTGATAGTCTACTGAGTACATCTGAGCACTGTGCCCCTTCATATCCCTTCATAGTTTGTTCTCTACGCGGTCTACACGTTCATCTATAGGTAAACTGGGAGATCCAGAAGCGGAGTTGGCCAAGCTCATCCAGGAGGCCCGAAAAGGTGACCATTGGAAATCCATCAGTTGGTAAGATCGATGATGCAAAGACCTGGAAAGCACGTTGGAAGTGTAGGACTGCAATGAAGACCATGGGTAGAACATGGTCGAGTAGAAGATGAAGAAGAGTTGCTAGATGACAGCCTTGTCTTTAACAATATATATATATATATGGCTATATATATACAGAGCATATAATGCATTGCTTGTTGAGTTTGATCTATATACATGCGGGTGGATGGTGAAACTGACTCCCGTCCACTCTGAGAGCCGCACGTGTGACCAGGCCAAGCAGGGCTTGGAAACAGCCGAGGCTGGATGGGATTGCGAGCGGTGTTTGCCGCAAGGCCACGGGTCCTGAAACCATCACTATCATCACTTGGAAACTTCAGGTTCTTAGAATTCTATGATATTCTCGTCCTCCAGTTTGAAGCCAGCCATGCTGATGTGAAAATCCACTGGGGATCCTTTGGGATCCAGTTCGAGCTGCTTCGGTACGCCACTCCACGAATTCGCTGGAATCACGAACGAGCTTGCGGTATTCTCTTCTGGCCAGCTGAAAGCGCGGCAGGCGAAAGCTGCTGAAGCTCCCCAGCCCAAAGGAACAGATTCTGAAATGCTTGAAAATGGCATCATTGTCCTGGATGAAGATGAGTGAGGTTGCGCTGCGAGCGCAGTGAGGGGTCGAAGACATCCATGATGATCATGCGTCGGCTCATATCCAGCGCAAGTAGTCCTGGGGGCTGATGGTAATTGGGCTTTGCATGAAGTGGACTGCATCATGCAGCAAAAGAAATACTAAGATGACATATAGATATAGTAATATATGTAATACATATGTATTTGAGCTTGTATACATCTTTAGTTTTCAGTTTGTCCTTGCAATTCCTTGAAGCCCATTCGCCACAGATCTGCGCTCATCTTTGCCACGCAAAGCTTTGCCACAGACAACAACACTGTGGCGAAGTCATATGAAGTCATTAAACAAAAGCACTTTAGTCAGAGAGTTGGTTTTCCAAGTTGAAGTGCCCAGGAGTTGAGTGACACAGCCACACACAGCACACGGAGCTCCAAAAGAAAAGAAGACATCCTCAAGTCGCTTCCAGCCCTATTTCACACTTCGAAAAACCTGCGACCTCCAATGGCGTGTTTCGAAGAAAAAAGGAGGGCCCACATGGAGTGTGATGCAGACTCATGGACCGTGTTCTTTTCTATCCATTTCCCTTGTGAGATCCAACCAGGGTCCCCTTCGACGTAGTTCTTGTGTCATTATTGCTTCTTGTGTTGATCTTTTTCTTTGGGCCTTTAGGCCTTTCGTTTGTCCTTCCGTTCCTTCTTCCTTTCATGCTCCTTTAGTTTTGAGGGAGGTGCTTGGACCATTCCCCCAAAGACCGAGGAGTTTGTTCGTTGTGGGGCACCGCTTGGAGAGCCGCACGTCGTCCACCACTGGTTGACCGGTCCACCAACGAAGCTTGACATGTGTCACAGGTCGGTCGAGCTTCGTTTCTCGCATAGGTCGAGCTCTACACCCACAACGAGGTTATGACAAAGATCACTCAGCAGCTAACAAAGGCGGTCGACGGTCGACGGTCGTGATTCTTGGGACCGGCTTTTTTACGAGTTCGGGCGAACGAGGGTTTGGACTGTCGACCTGTTGATGCGCAGAAAATCCTTGTGGCTGGGTTCGGACGGCCCTAGAGATTTCGAATTGGAGCAGAACTTGGGCACAAGCGAATTCAATGCTACTAGTAGCAATGCCCTTTGTTACTAGTAGCTTCCTGTTCCTTTTTAATGTCGATATAACTCTCAGTCTGTTCTAAAAAGAGGGCATTGTGTCATCAACAGAAGGAGCTTCAGCTATTGCATGAGTCAGGCCTTGGACTTACGATTGGTGGCTGTCCATTTGATAGCAGCGCTCTCAGAATGTGGAGGAGTGGACCAGCTGCAAAGGTTGTGTTGACACTTCCAACATCCAAAGCAGCAGATTGCATCAGAAAGATGTGAAAAAGGCTCGGTGCCGAGTGGATCCGAGTGGCAAGGATTCCACGCTGTGTGTGGATGCATATCGATACCTCTCCGCGGTCTTTCTGTCCGATGCTCAGCCGTGGCCATGCGCTGTCGCACTTGGCGCTTCGCGCCGTGACACGCCAGTCGGTCGGCTTCCGGGAATCGGTTCGGCTCGCCAGTCGGTCTGTCCGGTTTGGGCCAAGCGAGTTTCGATCAAACAGCACCGGTGTCACTTTCCCGGACCCGAATCATTAGCGTGAGCTATCCTGAGTCCACCCCTTCCTACTTAATGGCTACTATAATAGGCCTACCCCCCCTCAACGGGCTAAAAAGGGAAAAAACAACTTCACAGTGTCTCCGCCTTTACTTCTGGTTCGATGGATCGGTGTCTTTCACTTGCTGCAGGTCCCTGTCCGCCATGATGCAATTGGAGCTGCCGCACATCAACGTGTTATCCAAGATCGATATGGTCATGGTGAAAAGCCCAGATCGGGCCATTTGACACCCATGTGTATCGCCCCAAAACGGCCACAGAAGGGAAAGAAGATGTTTCCCAACATGTGGTTGCTGCTCGGGGGGAGGCCGAACAAAAAAGCCTTGTCGACAGAGGAGTGGCTAACCCAGCCAGACAAGAACGCAACGTACTGAGGATCACACAGATGATTTGAGCTTCAGCCTGGACTACTATGCAGGTCGGCCCAGGGAGCACAGACTCCATGTGAATTCGAGGAGCCCAAGACCCTTTTGGCTCACTGGCTCCGACTGGCTCCTCGCTGTTTTCAAGTGGTTCTTTCTAACCGCGTCTTTCAGGTCTTGCATGGTGTTTGATATGCACTGTTGGTGTTTTTTTCTTTTTGGGGTCCATGGAGCAATTACAGTGCTGTTGGTTGGGTGCTTTCAAGTGGACGTAGCCCTTTGTTTCCAACGAAGGCGTTCCACTGACGTTCCACAGCAAGTAGAGCTTGTTTGTGTTCATGTTCTTTTCAGTTCCTCGGAGTCTTGGGTCTCAAAATGACCGGTGCTGTGTTGGAAACCTGAATGTGGATGTTTCAAGGGGCCGAAGGGATTGCTTTTCCATGCTTTTCCGGTCAGGACCGTGTTCACTCTTTGAGTTTCTACATGTTTCTACCATTGACCATCTCCTTGGCAGAAGTGCACCGAGATTGCTTCTGGGGTGAAGCTATGGCTATGACCAACTGCTGCAAGCATTTTGAAATGAAACAATCTATTGGATTATCAAGTATCAGGCCTTGCCATGGACGGGTAGCGTGCGAAAGCGGGCTCAATGTATCGTCAATGTTGAAATTGCGGACAAACAAAATTGCCCTCATGGCAAAACCACTAATTACTGTAATTAATAGCAATACTTACAAAATGTCGGAATAAGCAATACAGTCCTAGTCCGATACGTCAACAGCCATAGTTGCAATGAATATTCACGGATGGCTATGCACGCAAGTCATGTATGGCATGAACATGCGTCAAGTCAGTAGAACCTCAGCTCTACGGTCTGGAACCTCTACTTTCTTTGACCCGGCCGTCGTTTCTCGGGTTTTTTCTCTTCTGTGGGATACTTTTGCCTACACAAATCGAGAAGAAGTGTCCAGCGGCGAACCATCCAAGTTTTTGCTGTTGTATTTGGCGTTGGTCCCGATTGGTCCCATGGGCTGTTCGGATGAATGCTTCGCCTTTCCAGGCGTCTCAGACTTGTCTCAGCTGCTTTGGACACTGCAGACGACCAGGCGGACAACATGGAAAAACAAAAGCTCTCATGCGACTGGTAGTTTAACATGCAGGTGTGGTTCAATCATTGTAATGCGAGGAGTTTCAAGTGGAGAAAGGACCTAGACAAGCACCGAATTCAGAGAATGGTTTCTGCTCACCAAGGGAGGTAGAGTCGGGTCAGCTAAAGTTGGGGAGTAGCATGACATGGCATACACCCTTTAAATCAGTGTGTCTGACCTTTTGGACGGGTCCCCAAAGAGCACTTGCGACCACCTTCCCGTGCACCGGGCGACAACAGGCATCCGATGAGCGAGAAGTTCAAGGAGTTCAACAGGCCGCACAAGACGAGGGTCTGTGAGAGACTGATCTGGCGCAGTCGGTGAGAGACTCCTCACTTTGTTTGAGCACCAAAAAGAAAGAAGAGGGAGACAAAGGGGACATGAGACACCAGAGCTGAGCTGAGCCTGGTTTCAGGTTGATTGCTGAGCTCATCGAGGATTACGGTTCCTTGGCAGGGACAAACACCTAAGTCAACTGCTGCGACCACTGCAGCCTCAGCACCCAGTCAGTGATATGTCCACCATGTCAAAGGAACTCGTCTAGCAGATAGTAATTACCTAGTTTGTTTGTGATGCTTGAGGCATGCAACGTGATAACGTGAATTTGAACAGTATGGAGCTTGAAGGTTCCTTCATATGGCTGGTCTGTGGACTTGGCTCCATCGCCTTACAGTTCGCACCCACCGCCCCAAAGCAACTTCCACCTCCCTGCCAGCCCGTCGAAGCTCTCGGCTGAGGGTTGGTGAGCTTTGAACCGTTGGACATCCAAGACAAAGAGTGTGCACTGCGCGTGCTGCTCGGTCAGCGAAAAACCAGCTGCCCAATGGGACCTTGGGGCACGGATGGATGTGGCGCTACTGGGGACACTACTGGATACGCTGGAGGTTTGGTGGGTGACATGGTCTTACACTGAGCCTTGTTTTTTAGTACAGCGTACTGCCAGCGTATATCCTTTAGCGCAACTGATGGGCGCGAGTCTACTTTCCCTTTTCCCGCATTCTTTCCAGGTTGCTTTTGTTCCCCAATAGCCATGCTATGGGGTCTTGCAAAACTAATAGGCGGACGGGCGCCGTCGGGTCACCGTCAGAGCTGGTGGGCGGATGGTGTCCCGGTCATGTTTTGATGGCGTCCGGGTCATGTGATGCTGGTGTCCCGGTGTCCCGATCATGTTTTGATTGTGACCCAATCATGTTGTGATGGTGTCCCGGTCCTGTTTTGATGGTGTCCCGGTCATGTTGTGATGGTGTCCCGGTCATGTCTTGAAGGTGTCCCGGTCATGTTGTGATGGTGTCCCGGTCATGTTGTGATGGTGTCCCGGGCATGTTTTGATGGTGTCCCGGTCGTGTTGTGACGGTGTCCCGGTCATGTTTTGATGGTGTCCCAATCATGCGATGGTGGCGCGGTCATGTTGTGATGGTGTCCCGATCATGTTTTGATTGTGTCCCAGTCATGTTGTGATGGTGTCCCGGTCCTGTTTTGATGGTGTCCCGGTCATGTTTTGATGGTGTCCCGGTCATGTTGTGATGGTGTCCCGGTCATGTTTTGATGGTGTCCCGGTCATGTTTTGATGGTGTCCTGGTCATGTTTTGGCGGTGTGCCAGTTATGTTTTGATGGTGTCCGGGTCATGTGACGGTGTCCCGGTCATGTTGTGATAGTGTCCCGGTCATGTTGTGATGGTGTCCCCGTCATGTCATGCTGGTGTCCCGGTCACCTTGTGATGGTGTCCCGGTTATGTTGTGATGGTGTCCCAATCATATTGTGACGGTGTCTCGGTCATGTTTTGATGGTGCCCTGGTCATTTTGTGATGGTGTCCCGGTTATGTGATGATGGTGTCCAAGGAAGAGATGGTCGATGCGTTGAAAACAGCAGCTGTTTCCAGATTTTTCTTTTTGTCCCGGTTTGTATCTTGCTATTGGGGTCTCCAGCTGGGCTAATTTGCTTGAAGCCACACTCAGTTTGCATTACATATATTTTTCTCTTGCAACCCTTGTGTTTAGCCTTCAGGGCCACCTTGTTTTGCGGCCGGATAAAATCTGCGGCCGGAGGAAGCCGGGTTGATTTTGAGGCTTGGACGCTGCGACACCGCGAATGGTCACATCATGAACTCTGAGAAGGTGGAGGTCCGTGTGGGAAAAGGCAAAGGGTCTGATTGGATGTGAAGAAACGAGTTTCTTCGCTCAGCAAGCACAATGTGTGCAGAATCCAGTTTCAACGGTGCTCCAGTGGATTCCGGTGATTGTTGTCCCAATTGGTGCAGGAACACCCAAAAACAAAAAACGTGGGCGAAGAGTCCAGAAGTGATCAGAAACTGCACCGGTCTCTTGGTATATCTCTTCACCGGAACGGTCACCCGCTTCCCCTGGTGGAAAGGACCTTCCGCCGCTCACTCACCGTCCCAGGACCCGTCCGATCCCGTCTCCGGAGTGCGGCTGTTCCAGGCCGACCTCTGAGGGTGGGGGAGGATGAAGGTCGGGCGATGAAAGACATCAAATAGACATGTTTGGTCATAAAACCATGTTTAAGACATGTGAAAACCATAATAAAACCCGTCTATTTGGAGGATCCAACATCTCGAATTTGGGGGCTTGTGTCACCCACCGTCAACATTTAATGAGTTGAGATGTTGAGACTCAAGATGACTTTAGTTAGGCCAGTTTGAGGGGTTCTTGAATGAGGGGTCTCCCTATTCTAAGACCCCAGATGGGTCAATGAATCAGTATTTTGTGGTAATGGCTGAGAAGGGTCTAGCAGCCAGACTCAGACAGGCGAAAGTGGGCAGGAAGACTTAGCAAAACCGATAGATCCAGATCTCCTTCGCAATAGAACTCTGCCGGAAGAGTTTCTTTCGGAACCCATTTAAGTTTTGCTGCATACACTGTCCACCTTTTGTTCGTGGGTGAAAGTTATCCACCAGAATTGGCTTCCGTGGCATAAGAGTTCATCTAATTTCCAGCAGTTGGTTTGCAATACCAAGCAGTAAACTCAATCATTGGGACTTCCTCAGTTTCTTTCATCCATCGAACTGCCAGGGATTGGGCAAGCGAAATGATGTGTTTGTAATGCGAGGGATTTATTGGGGCCGCTGCTTTGCATGAAACCACAAGCTTTTCGTGGTCCGCTGGCTGCGCCATCAAGGCTGGCTTCTCAGATGCCGGAGAATTCCTGGATGAGTATCTCGAGCGCTACGAAGAACGATTGCAGCAAAGGTGACCAAAAAGCAGTTCAAAGAATAATCCATCGAAACTCCCCTGCCAGGTGCATTTGGTTCTATTGTCGTGTTCTATTTGTTCCACAACTTGAGAAATGAAAAGCTGATAGAAACCACCTGGTCATTGCCTTTGTGGCTGGGGCAGCTAGGGAATTTCAAGGAACAAAGCTACCCTTGGAACACATGTCGGGCGCATCTAAGGATGAACTCACAACCTCCATTGAAAATACCCTATCGACCCAGCTAAATAAGTGTCCCAAACACGAACATTTGATAAAATTTGTAACATCATCTGAATGTGTTTTGAAATGTTTCTGTGCGCAAAACAAAGAAATACAAACGGATACAAATGGTAGGAGATAGCAGATACAAGAGTGGAGACCGGCTTTGCCAACGATCATGCCTTGGTTATCCTTGGTTGAGACAACAGCCAGCACAAAATGAGGCGCAGTTGTGCACAAAAACAGGGCAGGTCAGTGTGGAACTTCGAAGAATCAAGACCACGGAGCATTTATGACCAAAATCTAGAAGGGTCACAATAGATGTATATGTTTATGTTTGAATTTTGGATTCAAGTTAAATTGTCGGAATGCTATTTCTGAAAATTAATATGATATATTTTAGAATAATTCTTAGATTCTATAAACAATAACTTTATAGGATTAAATATTGATATATTTCTTGAAATATAATTTCCATATTATTAATATGATGATATTAAAGATAATATTAGCAAAATAAATATCTATAATTTTTTAGAGGGTACGATTTATTGTTAGATCTTATAGAATATTTAATGGTTGATTGTATAGAAAATATTTTTTAGAAAATATTTGGATAAATAGCGATAATGATATATTATGAATTTAAATAAATTGAAATATGTTTTATAGAATTATTAAATTTATTGAATTAATATATATTTTTTTTATTTATTTAATAAAATATAATATTTATATATAATTAGAAATTTAGTAATAATATAATTACTATATTTATTATATATTAAAATACATCTAAAATAAATGGAATTGCATTTTATTACGAAAGGTAGCGAAGCTAGTTGGAATTATTTTGCGATAGTAAGGTTTTTTTCGACCGGGTGTAAATTTTAATCCCTGATTTTTTAGGTCGAAGCCTTTTTTGTCTCTACCTCTTTTTTTTCCCTTCTCTCTTCCTCTTTCTTTCTTTCTTTTTATTTTATTTCCCCTTTCTTCTTCCTTATTTTCTTTCTTTCTTTCTTCTCTCTTCGTAAGTTCGATTCCGTTTTGTCGTCGTTTTTTTGGTATGCGGTTAGCGTTGCGGCCGCATTGTTTTATTGTTTCTTTATTTCTTTTATTTTTCTCTTTTCTTTTATTTCTTTTATCTCTTTTTTTTTTCTTATTTCTCTTTCCTCTTTTTCTCTCTTTTCTGTCTCTCGTCTTTCTATTTCTCTTCTTTTTCTTCTTTCGTAGGAGGATTCGGGCAAAGAGCCACATATAAAGGATTCTTTACCCCCTGCCTCCAAAAAGAACGCCGTATTTTTTCTTACTTCGTTGCTCTTCATTTTCCCATTCTGGAGCGCTAGTTTTCGCCCCCCCCTTGGCCTCAAATAGTATATTTTAATATTGATAGTAAATTATATGTTATTTTGTAAATATTGGTTGTTCGATGATATTTATTTATTTAAATTGTTTGAATATTTTATATTTATTAATTAAGATTGTTGCGTGGATTTTACGCCGTGTAATCGAATAATAGAGCAATTTTTGGCCGACGGCCATTGTTTTCTCGGTTTTCTTACATTTATATAGGGGCCTTTTGAGATTTTACGTGTTGCGTACATGCAAAATAGATAATTATTTGTATTTTTTTTTTCCATCTCGATATTTCGCGTGGTCGCGATTCGAATACGAACAATTAATTCCGTATTTTTATATTGGCAACGGAATTTCCTCATAGGAGGGGGTTCCAGCAAATGGTTTCGTCGCCGTCTCGCCGCGGAACCTCACGTGACATGGCGAATGGCGGCAGCTCCTCTGCGAACGCTGGCAAGGATCTGAAGGATAGCTTCGTGCTTGCTTCGATAACACCACCACGACTTATGCTGAATGGCGGAGGCGAATGATTTGGTATGCCCGCAAGCTCGAGCTCCAAAATCGAAAGAACGAGACAGTCCTCAATACCCTCTTAGTCCTTGAGGGTCCATCCTGGATCCAATGCGAAGATCTTGATTTCCACGAGCTGGAGAAAGAGATAGGTCTCGACATCCTTCTCAAGCACTTGGACAAGCAATGGGCGTATGACGACAATTGCCGATCCACTTCGACCAATTCTTCTTCAAGTTGCAGCGCAAGAAGGATCAATCGATCCTGGAGTACCCCACCGAATTCCACCAGACCCTCAGGCAGGTCACAAAATACAAAATCGATCTCCCTGAGGAGATCATCGGCTGGATGATATTGAAGAGGGCCGGATTGACAAAAGAACAGGAACAGCTCATCTAGATTAACATCGGCTCGACACTTACGCTCCCAGCTGTCGAATAGGCTCTCTACCTGATCCTCGACCAAGATCATCGCCATGCACACCTTCCTACTCATTTGAGGAAGCCACAACTCCCCGGCCGATGGAAGAGGCAGAGTCAAACCTTCTGGGAAGAAAATTATAAATTGGATGAAAACTATGAGAATAAAGAGACCTATTTCCAGGACGCCATCGACCCCGACGAGTTCCAGGAGACCATTGGGGAATGGGAAGACCATGAGCCCGATGACACCTATTACTACGATGAAGCTCAAGAAGAGTTGGACTCCTTGTTCGACATACAAGAGTTCGACGACATCTATAACACCTATGTGGATGCAAAGAATCGCCTCAACCAGTTTCGATAAAGCCGTGGCTTCTACCCCGTCGTGGCTGTGGTGGATGGCGACAAGGATCAAGCACCTTTAATGATCCAGAGCACCGATAAGGGCAAGTCCAAGAGTCCTAACAAGTCAAAGAGTTCTTCCAAAGGAAAAGGCTCAAAGTCTGGAAAAGGGCCCAGCGGGAAACAACGTGCCCGCTCAGCCTTGGTATGTCTTCGCTGCGGCAAGCCTGGCCATTTTGCAACAAATTGCCCGACGACAGGTGCACAATTAAATTCACCAAAGAAACGATTTCCAGATGATGATGCAATGATCAACATAGTCCTCAACATTAATGAATTCTATGATGCTAAGGAAAACTATGATTATGAGAATCAGATCTTCTACGATCCTTAAGCATTGGTCCGCGCTAGCGGCTGCCTCACACCGCATCCTAACGTCTACATCCAAGACCAAGGAGTCCATCGTTTCTAGCAACGAATACATCTTACGCTACCTCAAGTGGCTGGAAATCCTCAGCTACCCCATGGACAAGTTTAATCTTCAAAGCAATGGGATAAGTAAGTCCTTCCCTTTCGATAGCGATGTTACGGAACAATCCAAGTGGATAATCGAGTTACATTAGCGGCAAAATCCAAACCTATGTAATTTACGCTGCCTAGGTATTGTTCAGCAGACCTCTATTCGAAATTTTCCATGTCGAGATTAATTTTAGCCGCTCTCGGATACGCATATTAAATCCATTCCACATAACCATCAAAGAGTTATCTTGCTTCGCCTAACTAAAAGAATAACATGTTCAAATAATTTCTTCCCCGAAACCTTCGACCTTCGCTATAAAAATTCCCTATACAACCTCAACGCCCACAAACGCCTCTACGAAAGGACAACAAAGATACACGCCTATTTTTAAATATATTTAAAACATAAAATAAATAATCCAATCGATCAAAAACACATAACCGACCACCACCACAAATACAAATTAATCCTATACCTAATACCACAAAATTACACCCTCCATACCCTACTACCTACATACCCCCTATTTATATCAATTATAAAATATACACAAATATACAAATATTTATATAATATAATACTATTTAACATATACATAATACAATATAATATAATATAATATATAATATAATATAATATAATATAATTGTTTTATATATATATAAATATATATTTATTCCAATTCATCAATTTAAATTAATATTTTTAAATGTTATAATATAATCAATAATTTATTAAATATTTTAAAGAATTTTAATAAATCCATATTATTATGGTTTAAAAATAAAGAATCAGATTTCCTTTATAAATTTTAATAATATTAATCGATTCTATATATTTATAGAATTTAGAAATATATAATTAAAAATAGTAATATCATATATTATATATAATATTAATTTATATATATATATATTATTATATTGATTTTGATTTATAATTTATATTTATTAATTGAATCGATGTTTAAGAATGATGAAATTTAGGTTGGTGTCGTCGATGTCTAAATTCCTGCAAATTAAATGTCTATCAATTCAAATTCCGAATGGTAAATTCCAATTGGAGGCATTGAAAAATTGATCATCCTTAAATAATATATTCAAAATCATCAGAATGGATCATAATCGTTCTTCCAACAAAAAAACAATTATATAGTCGATGGGACCAGTCCTTGCCCTTCTCAAAGTAACCTTGATCAGACCAGGAGGGCCAGCAAGGCACCCGTGCATCGTGGACCTCGAAGCCTGGCTCATTGGGGCAAAGTCGCTGCTTGAGCACCTCGCCGAAGGTGACAAGAAAGCAAACGATTGCACTATCTGTTATGTGGGGGCCCTATCTCGTTTAGACTGGTTAAGTAGAAGGTCATGTCACAGCCATCTCGTTCAGACTACTTTAGTGTCATCAAGCAAAGTATCTGGTTTATGTCGTGGCCCTATCTCGTTCACAAGCGAATACGGATGATAGACTGATAGACAAGCAAATAGAGCATGCCGTGCCGTAGACTACTTTAGTAAAGCCTGAATAAAAGTGGTTGCTCATTTGGATTCGGCTATTGTCTACCACAACTACAAGGCCTGACTGCAGAACGCAGGTCTGCTCACCTGGTCGTCAATAGTACTATGTATATAAGTGAAGTCTTTTGGGTCTCTGTCTCTGTCACATCTCGGAGAAGTGAAACGGTCCATGTTCTTTACTATGGTCTAAGGCCTAAGCGTGGTCATAGGAGGGTTTCATCAGTTCCCGGGGTAGGGATTCTTTTGATCATATCCTAGCGGCTCTAGCGGAAGTTGCGGCACTCTTCCGCTGCGCTGACAGTTGGTGGACGAAAATTATGTACCATTACCACCTGAGCTGTGTAAGGATACCCGAAGGCCCTATGATTAGGTCTGATAGTCATAAATGTGAATCTGTGGAGGATCTGCTCCATCAAGGCACCTGGGCTCAGGGAAAACAATGTCATGATCTCCCACAATCGACTGCACCCCGCAGCGGTTTGCCACAGTGGTTTCAGCAGACTGGTAGTGTGACGATACCTCACAACAAAATGCAGCTGGGCGACATAAACCGGGTTCACGTTCCACCAAGAGATCCCAGTTGTTTCCATGATGGCATCATATCCAGGATCTGCTCCTTCCTCTCCTTCCCCCTCCATTTTGTCCAGAGTCTTGCCTTCCTTCGCAAAACACCACCTGCCAGAGCAAGGGTTTCAGGGCTTTGGCAAGCAACGGCGGACAATCTTCCAGGGTACCAATTCCGGCTGGTCAATGCGAAGCGAACAGAATCTGGTGGCTGCTGTGTCTCATTTAGCAACCTAACAAATGAATATATATATATATAATATATATATAATATATATATATGTAGTAGGTAATATTGAATTTTATTGGCTGGCCTTAGATGTTCGGCTTCCTTTTGATTCCCGCCAATCATCCCTCACTGATCAGTCAACCAATTGAATAAGCTTGGGCATACCCACACATCTCGTGCAAGAGTCTCGTCTATACACTTCTTTGCCGCTCCAAGAAGGATCATTGGGGAATTCGTTCCAACATGATCTTCAAAGGAACCCGAAAAGAATGACGTGTTCCCTCCCAAATCACTATTGCCGCTTGGGTCTATCCTATTACCTGTAACAGTGGATGATGATGATGATGGTCAGTAAAGGCCTTCTTCAAAAATAGTAATAATTGTTTACTGACTGTTAGAGGTATTAGGACAGACCCTTATTGCAATCATTCGTCTGATTTTCTCATGTAAATCAGGAAGCAAAGGACCCGTAGTGCTATAAATGTGATGTACATTTTGTTTAATGCTGATCCAAGGACTCACTTTGCAGAAACATTCTGGAACATTGAAAGTTGCACGCAGACAATACCTCGTTGCCCCCCTTCAGTGGAAGCCAAACAACCAGCCGGAAACGAAGGCAACCCAGCCACTCAATATACAGAATGCCGGCGGTATAGATGAAGGCTGTGAGCAGAAAAATCAATACAAAGATCCTGAGTGTAAGATCAAGCAGTGCCATGTTCGGAACAAGTTTGAAGGCATGAACTGCGTGGACCTTCCAGTGGTCTTGTACCAATTCCTAAACCTTTTTACACAAACCGATGTAACTGGTACAAGGACTATGGAAATCTTGGGAGTCAAAGTCGAGCGCCGTGTGTTGTTCTGCCCCTGTAACCTCGGCGTTCTGGCTTCTTCCTCCCTTAAAGGATGGGTGCTCGTCCCGTATGTGGTGGGTGGGTGCTCGTCCTTCTCCGGTCTCGGCCGAAGTCTCGGACTAAGCCAGTCAAGGCTCAACAGTGCGAAGGGCCACTCGGTGATCTCTTGCAAGCGATAGGCCCAAAGCGCAAAGGAGGCCGCGCACTTGGCCAGGACCAAACCCCAAATGATGATAAAGGAGAAGTAGGTCTCTTCCTTGGAGAATTGTTTAACCAAAAAGGCCCAAGTGTTTGCTAACGAACATGGAGGTGTATGACTGGTAGGGTGTGTGAGGAGGATAAGCACAAGGTGTTTCAATTGCTCTTGGTTTGTGCTGCGATGTTTCCTCTGCCGGCTGCGATCAGCTGGCTGCAATGTGTTCCTTCTCGGACATGCCGCCGATCCCGATGCAGCAGGAGGGAAAATGGCCTACCAGCTAGTTGCAGAGTCCAAGCGAATCCTCCTCAGTGTGTGGCCACGCCGAGCATCTGAATCAAATTGCGACTTCCCGTAGAGCCAAAGCATCACATAGCGCTGCCAGAGGAAGAAGAGGATGGCGAAGCCGGTGAGGGCCACCCAGATCTTCATGCTAAAGTCAATGAAATAAAAGGCCGTGAAGGCAATCGCCGGAAAGATGATGACATAGGTGTACCTTGACATACACCCAATTACGACATATTACGACACATTATGATCATAGATTTGACACGCATTGCTTCTAAGTGTCCCTCATAATGTGTCATGATGTGCCCAGATTTGTTACTTGAACCCTTAGAACCTGTTGACTTGACCATGCCAGGTCAAGTCAACCTCAAAATCCGGCGAGACTATGCAAACCTGGAAAATGGGCTGATGTCTTCATCTACATAAACATATAGATGTCCAGCCAAGACGCTCCATCCACAGAAGCAAAGGAACCAACATCTGCGCCTTCTCAGCTTCTCCTCAAAGTGAATGGGTGCTCCAAATGAATGGCTTTGAACGTTTCGGTTTTCGATCTTCCCGTGGGGATGGGGTGATTCATAAAGCAGCATTCCAACCCAGCCGCAAGCAGCCAGAACTTCCCCTGCACACTGCGATAGGAACTGAGAAGCCCAGGAAACACCCGATGAACACACCCACCAGGACTGGAGCAACTAAAGTAATGTAGACTCTTGATTAATACACCCCCCCATTTGACTTGAACATCCTCTTCAAAGGGTCTTTTTTTAAATCAAGAGTCTACAGCTTCATACGGTTTCCTCTTGGCGATCCGACCCATGGGTGTTTACAGGAACTGCCACTCCGCCCCACGGATCAAACCTGACCTGCTTGGTCACTGGACTGCCGAGACGGAGCCAAAACGGAAACCGTGCGCCCTTTGGCTGCGAGACTGCCAAAGAGAACAAAACAAATTTATGAAACACACCAAACTGTTTAATTTGTACAAAAACATATAAAAACACACCAATTTAATCAATGTATATAAAAACAAATTTAAAACAAGGAGGACAACATAGAACAGCTCGATACATCTCAATACGCTTCAAGCCCCTCGAGTGGGCACGCACCCTCTCCGCAGTCGGGTCTCCACCGGTCTTCACCGAGCGACGGGCCGTCAAGACCACGGGATCCCGCGTCTTCGGCAGGACCAAGCGCAAGAACTTCTGGATCCGAGACTGGGGACCACCACCTGGGAGGAAGAAGTTGCAAAAGCTAAGGTGCAGCTGTGGACTCCATGTGGACCTCTGTGGAGCTGCATTTTTAAAGGAAGAAGTTCCCCCAGCATAAATCAGTGGATCAAGCTTGATCCCATGTGGCAGGATGTCATGCGTGGATCCGGATCCACATGCCTGGTGTAGCTGAAACACAGCTGGACGTCTGGCCGTCAAACACCATCACAGGACATCCGGTGAGTCAAAAAAAGGACAAATGAGACAAATGAACCTAATTGTTCTAGGAACAATGTTCGCTACTAGGGGCTCTTGGCATCGCTACTAGGAGCAAGAACGCTACTAGGGGCTCCTGGCATCGCTACTAGGAACAAGAACGCTTCTAGGAACAAAGGGCATCGCTACGAACGGAGCAAGGACGCTCCTAGGGGCTCCTGTGGCCTTACTACTAGGAGCAAGAAGCTACTAGGTACTTGTTCATGTGGCTAATCCATACTGTAATAACCAAATGTCCTGCTGCATTGTGTTTTTTAATGGTGAGATCCTGTGCGCCCATTTCTTCCAGCCAAAGGAACCGATATTCGAGATGAAGACCGCACGCAACGCGAACCAAAAGAAGGCCACTGGCCTCACCGTCAAATGGCCGACAGTTCGGATGTGAAACAGGGGCGGCTTTACTTGGGTGGTCTGCCGATAGGTCTCAGACATGCTGTGGCAATAGCTCAGCTGGAAATGTTCGTCAAAACCGCACGTTTCATTTCATCAAAGCTCCGCATCGCTCCTCGGTGTTTCCAAGCTCCGGGCCCAATCACATTTCCAACTTCACCGAGCACGTACAGCCTCAGTCGTCCGCTTTCGGTGCTTTGCAGCGGTCCCGTCTAGGCACTGCGTCGCCCGATCGGCGAAGCAGAGATGCTCCACCGGCGTGAATGTATGTGTGGTGTTTTACACCGCTTTTTATACAGAACTTTCTGGGTGGGCCTGGCAGATGTGGCAAGCAGCAGGTTTGACGTATTTTGACACCTGCAGCTGCAGGCTAGATTCTCTAGATGATCATAGATGAATCATTATATTTATATTGCTTTCAGCTCCTCCACCTTTCAGCTCCTCTACCATCCTCTACCTGATCCAACTGGGTCGGCCACCTTGTTCACTGATTTGAACTATGCCATGGTGCCGGATTGCTATTCGGCAGGCTTTCCAAGTGGTGCAGCTGTGTTTAAAGCTGTGTTGAGGAGAGACTGCTGTGGGACTCATTTTGACAGGCATTCCATGCGTTCTCAAGTTGCCATTCTTGGCGCATCCCAGTCTGCAGAAACCGACTCCAAATGGTCACTATCATGGTCAGTAGCATTTTCGATCATTGTATTGCATCTACTTCTGTATCCGTGGCCCATGGGCATGGCCCGTGCGTCACCGTGGCCCACGCGTCACCGCCCACCTCTGCGGGCCTTCGCCAAGGCACATGATGGTCTGCTCAGTGAAGACAGAGACCAAGGCCTGGAGACCGTCTCTCAGTGCATCTCTTCGCTTTTCCGCAAAGCCGTTGTATCCGGCCTGATGCCCGATGACCCTTTAGGCTAGAAAGGTGTGGAAGCACCTACCTTCGCCTACACCACATCAAGACCAAAAGTCCAACAAAATCTTGGAGACTTCAAAAACCTCCCAAAATTTCCCCTACCCGGCATCACCCCCCCGGTGTCCGATCTTCCCCAAGCATCACCAGCCTGGTAGGCGCTCACCTCAGCAGCTGCTGAGTTCACGAGGCCACTCCGCCACTGCCACCACTCAGCAGTGAGTTCCTCCTGCGGTGCTTCGGTGCTTCGCATGTCCGGTCCAAGCAGACCGTCTGTCCGGTGTCCGACTGTCTGTGGGGTGTGTCCGCAGCTGGTGGTTCCGAGTGGAGTGAAAACGAAGAGCAGAGAAAATAGAAGACAATTCTAGGTAGACCAGCATGATGGTTCCCCAATCCTGGTCAGTTCCAATGCCAGGTCCACCAGTCAGTAGTTGTTTCGAGTCAAAGATCCTAGAGCAGGTCGTGTGCGGTTGGTGATCTTTTGTTTTTGGGGTGGCTGCAAGAGGGGAGTGGTATCTTCACGCCATAAACTATTGGATGAAAACCAGTGCTGGGTTCTTCGATTGAAGCGTGATTTATATTGGTTATGATTGGTTTATGTCTTTCTTGCAAGTTTAGGATTTAAAAATCCTAACTTCATATACATTCCTTCGCTACATTTGGCTACACGCAAGAGGTTGCCACCATTAAAGCTCACATCTGGTGGACGAAGCTCCTCTCCCTCAGGATGATCCTTGTTTGGGCCCAGCGGGCAGGCCCCAATCGGTTAGTATCAGGTTTCAAGTGTCACCACTAGTATGGATGTGTCTCAAGGTGATATCAAAACCATTATATACTGGTATAAGAAAATAGATGAGTCGCAGGTTGGGGTCCCCTCCTCTAAATGTCTGCAATTCCCGAAAAAACTGTTTCATTCAACAAAAATCCCTGATATTGCCCCATGCGCAACAGCGCCACACACGTCGTCGTCCTCGGGCGGCAAAAACACTGATCCTCGGAATGTCTGATGCGGCACTAAGTAGAAGGGCAGCATGACAACACTTGGCTGTTGATCACTCAAAAACCTCGATATGGAGATGTACCAGTAACAGCATCCCGGTAGGTTGGATTCTTTCGGCCAACAATCAACATTAAGTTGACATGCCAGCTCACAGGCTGGGCAACAGGCATCGGTTCCTTCGATTCAACTCGAAGGCCACCACTTGTACTCTCACTGGGCCGCTTGGAAGCATCAGCAGACCATCGCCCCCCAAGGAATCAAAGGTTGCAGCTGTGCTAGCCGTGCTCCCCATTTCTGGTCTCATAGAACATATACAACCTATGCAGCATAACAGGTTCCTCTCAACCATGGAGCCATCATGTCATCGACTTCTCGTCAGAGCTCGTGGTTCGCAACGGAGCGATTTCGACCCCATTCGCCGAATTTCCCCGTCTCCGGATCAACCTGTGGTTTTGGTTGAAGGGGGAGAGGTGCTCATCAACGCCATCCTTCCAACAACATGAGGCCGAGGCTCTCAGGCCTTGCTTATTGCACTCCTGAAACACAATGTACAGCAAGGTAATCACCTCAGCAAGTGAAAAACAACAACAACAACGACAACAACGACGACGACGACGACGACGACGACGACAACGACAACAACAACAACAAGGTACAAACAAAAACCGCAGCCCCGTTACAAGATATCTTGTTCCTTTGTCTCTACAAGGGGGTGGAAAAAAATCTGCAACCCCGTCGTTGTTATTTTGACCCCCCCCCGAAAACAAACAACATGTACTTTTGCCATCTTTTACCAGTAGTGGTAGTGCTTGTACTAGTGCTAGTACTAGTGGTACTAGTACTAGTAGTAGTCGTTGTTGTAGAGGTCGTAGTAGTAGTAGTAGTAGTAGCAGTAGTAGTAGTTGTTGTTGTGGTGGTAGTAGCAGTAGTAGTAGTGGTAGTCCGGTCAGCTAAGCCTCTGCAAAACTTCTACTTAGAACCTCTACCTACCACATCCTAGAGACAAAAACTGCAGCCCCGTTGTTGTTTTTTTGGACCCCCCCTCAAAAGATGTTGTTGTCTCTACCGCCCTAGAAACAAAATCTGCAGCCCCGTTGTTGATTTTTTTACCCCCCCTCCAGAACAACACCCCAAAAAACATCAAAAAACAAGAAACAGACCAACCAAGACTTGAGTACCACAACGACAAGAAGTCCAGCTACTAACATCTCTCCAAACCTTCCACCCTATCCCTAACAGTGTCCCTTTGAAATCCCTGACTTGCAACATGTGACAACTATGTTGGGCAGCTGTTTTTGTCTCTACCAACAACAACAACAACAACAACAAGGGCCTTGTCGGCCGAGGCGATTTCGGCTTTGGAAAAACACCCTTACCAGCTTAGACGGTCCATTGGTCAAATCAATATACAGGGTATCTTCGAATAGGGAGACCATGGGAGACCCCATTGGTTCGGAAAATAAACAGTTCCATTAGTTCGGAGGTCTCCGCATTTCAATATACAGTAAATTAAACATGTACAAACGTATACAAAAGTGTTGTCGGCAGTCTCATGAAAGCTTAGCCTCCCGGAAGAGACGCCCAAAATGCATCGAAAAACAAACACCCAACTTCTATAATGTTCTAAAAAGCTATGGGTTAAAAGAACAAAGGATGAGCGCTGCGCCAGAGCTTTCGGTGTTCGGGATCTCAGTCCAAATTTACACCTCTTCCTGAAGGAGGCTCCTTCACAGAAGGCGAAGAAAGCTCAAAAGCGGATACCTGAGCTGCAGGCCATCAGCAGGGTGTTGAAAATGAAGGTCATCTGATCCACCTTCCTCGTGACGACTGGCCGTCGAATGGGACTGCCCACTGGCAAAAGGTGGTTGAAGGAAGCTACCATGCCGACAAACGGAGCCGTGGTTGCAAGCGACCATCAAGGTTTACCATAATTATTGAATGAAGAGCTGAAGCATTCAATCCGCCGCTACTGAGCCAATAAGGATACTGCAACCTGTCGCGAAAACTGTCGTCCTACATCGTCGTTTTACTACGTTTTACTATATACTATAGGGAGCTATTGGCATGGTGCGCTCCAATGTGTTGTTCCATGTGTCTCGTGTAAATTCAGTGCGATGCTAACATCTGTTTGGCATATGCAACACCAAGTTGTCGGCAGGAACTCAGTCGTCGCTCTAAACGTAACGTAACAAACGTCGTCGCTGCATGTCGCTGCAGGAGGGTTGATTATGCCAGACAAAAGAAGAGGAAGCGTTCTGGGGAAGCGTTCTTCTTCCCAGCAGAGCTCGAACTCTTCAAGACATTTCAAGACACATCATTTGACGTCCCAAAGTGATTGGATTGCGCAGTTGGGACAGGAGTCGCTGACCTTTTTTGAGGAAACGACATCGTTTTGATGAAAACACCCAAGTTGGCCACAAAAGATTTGGAACGTTCCATGCCCCCGATGTCTGCGGGGAAAACCCACACTCTGGCTCTCATCTGAGCCACGCGATCCGCAAAAAGCCGCACCCCTCGACATCGAAAGCCACGGCGGTCTGGATGGCAAAGTTCACCAGCAAAACGCCTGCACGCAAAAGGTGAAAAGGCGTATCTCATGAACTCTGCAGAGTTAAGCTGAGTCAGTTCGAAGCTTTCAGGGCTTGGCACCCCTTTCGAGTCTCCACCCTTTCAAGTCCGCCTTTGCTGGCTAAAGCAACCCCCGCAGCCGCACTGGAGGCTTCCATGGCACAGTCGTTCCAGGGCTTTTGCATAAAAGTGTAGAAGACCTGCGCTGTGACCACGTAGATCAAAATATAGACAATCCTCAGCCCAAGCAAGCACACCAGTCTGCCAACTTCTCAATGCCTTTTGACTCCGACTCCACCCCAGGCCAGGTGCACGACATGCGCCTCAACCACCCGACCGTTGCTGTCCAGTTCCGACGACCGGACCCAAAAACTGCAGCGGAAGCGACTGCCGGGCCGGCAGGACCAAATAGGTCTTCCGGCGCTCGGCAGGGGACATCTCGGCCTTCTCGTATCCTGAGGACAAGGCCGGTCCGAAGTCTCAGGACATCGGAGATGAAAAAGAGACGAAAAGGGGCCGGGGGATCAGAGGTGAAGCTAGCAGATGATCCAAGAGTATCTGTTACTGTTAGAGTTCGTTAGAAGGCCAGGCACTGACTCCATCTGGCTGATCTCCACGGTTCAGTAGTTGGACCATGTCGATCTCACCATCACCATCCTTGCTCTCGTATTTTGGGAACCTCGCGGCCAGAGATTGGTGGGTGGACTTTCATCTTGACACATGGGAGTTGAGTTCCAAGGGTTGGTCCTCTTGCAACATGGAAGGTTCACTTGGCGGATTTCTTTTGCTTTCCCCACCAATCAACTGTGGCACCCTCACAATTGACGCATACACCTTTTGATTCGGAGAACACCAAACCGACAAGTGAAGTTACATATATTATCCTTAGATCTCAGTGAAAGATCTTGTACTTGGTAGTTTAAAATTTGAATACCTGTGCTCATCGTCCTGCATCGTCCACTTTATGAAGGTGACCAGACTGATTCGATTGCAAAACAGTTTTTGAACAAGTTCTGCATCACATGTCATCTCATGGTGTTGCTACTCCAGCCAGGGCACCTTATCCTAGTGCCACGCACACCCACGTGGCCCACGTGACATATCAAGGTCAGCAGTTAGTTATATATATATATGTGTTTGTTTATGTTCACTCTCTTCACACATGACATGTGTCTTGGGCCCCCTGATTTTGAGAGACAGTCATACGAGCAAACATATGGAAGTTGAGGATCCCGCAGTCTTTCAATAGCTTGCTGAGGTGCCAAGTACTAGAGGGACCCTCCAAATACATAGAAATGACAACCTTGTTCAAAATGTGGCATGTCCATATCTAGAGTCTCTATATATATATATATATATACAGTATATGAATGTATATGATCGGTGCTTCGGCCGAACTGCCACCAAGAAGCAAGATCTGCTTTCGAAGCCCACGACGTTCACGCAAAACGCGGATCATGGACATCTGTGTGTGGAAGACCTGGTGTCCAAAGTGTTCCACAGAACTGTGGAGTCTTCCATGGGGAGACCCGGAAAATTCTTCAGATGCCAGGTGGAAGTTGTTTATGGAATCGTTAGTGTTGGAAACGGGGCACCTATTGAACTGTCGGTGGCCTCGATTTGAGACACTGCTCTCGACACTCTTCAGCGTGTAGAGTGTAGAGGGAAGTGCACCACACCACCCGGCCATCCCGGAAAACGGAAAATCCTCATTGCATCAGGACACGATGTATGCGCGTCCACAACATCTCAAGTGCTTGTGGAGGATCTCCTTGAACTCCTCCTTATCGTTCTCGATATCCTCGAAGGCTCGGAGGCTCGGCAGCAGAACGTGCGTTCGAATCGTTGTTTTTCTCTAAATTGGTCACTATCAGAACCCCTTTGGCAAGGGAAAAATTCAAGACACACTCTGATTCTTGAATCCCAAATTCTTTCTGCTGTGCCCATGTTCATCCATGTCCACATGAACATCAAGAGGCTCTTCTTGGAATGTGCCAAGAGCAAGTGTGAGTCTGTTTCCAGTTATGAGAGTTATTATTACTGGCAGAGACCTGCCGCTGCACCTTGCTTTAGAGAGTTCTTCTCTCCGAATCGCCTGCAGTTTGCATGTTCTCCCGGCCTCTTCGAGTGCCTTTTCTGACATTGAGAAGTCAGCACGAGCCCAGCCATTTCTTAAGTCATCCAGCTCAATAATGTGCTCCAGCATCTCCTCACACTTCTCATTGACCTCCGGGGGAATGTGCACCAGGTCATATAGAATACCTGCAGAAGAAAGAAACGGAAGAATCGGTGTCCAATGTTCGCCGTTTTTCTCAAAGGAAGCCATTGGAAAAAAATGAAAAAAACGACCAACGAACCGTCCAACGAAGGTTCATGATGCTTAGCCAAAGTGACAAACACCATAGATGCGGCCCTCCATGTTCAACTCTTTCTCCAAATATCTGTGCAATCGACGTTCTGACGTGCATTCTCTGGGCACACCTTCCAACATCAAAGTGTAGTCATCAGATGTCTGGTGCGTAGAGTCATACCTGCAAGGGAAGTCTTTCTGCCCCAAAACCAAAAAAGGCTTGGGATAGACCCAGACCTATCATGCCCATATTGTGCCACATGACAATCCGGGTGTATTGAACTCTATTAGATTGGTCTTGAATTGGTCTTGAGGCTCACAATCCTGGGGAGAGCCTGGACGTTGAATCTCCCAGGCTGACATTCCTATGACTCACTTGGTTGGCTTGGTCTCCCTCTGACTGAATACTGAAGACGGCATTTGGCCACTCCGTGCAGTCTTCTGTGCATGGTTCTTTCAGCTTCAGTCGGGAAACTCCTTCTGGAAGCTCTTCTGGTAGTAGTGAAAGCCCCATGAGAGCAAGACCTGGGCTGCAGAATCTTCTCAATGTCTTGTCCGACAGAACTTGCACCACGAACCGTCCTGATCCTGCCGTCACCCTCATTCGTTACATGGCGCATTTCCCCAAAGAGCACCAAGCACGCTAAGCACGCCCAAGTATATAAGTCCCCCTTGGGCATCGCCACGAGACGATCAAACCACGACTTCACCGGTCCACCCGTCCACGCCACCACGTGGCCACCGTGCGCGCCCGCGTTGGTTTCGGGGCGCCGAGGCGAACCAGAAGCTGATGCCCACGACCTGCCCGATCTTCGCGCGGTCGTGCTCCTCAGTTCGGGCTTCGCCAAACGAAGCGCGGTAGGCCGTTTAAAAGATAGGACCAACCTGATGCGACTGACATCGAAGGACTCACCTGTGAACCCATGCGGAAGCCAAGCTGCTCTTGTCACGATATCCACTTCCAGCTTCCTGACCCCGGTCGAAGAACCGCTCACAGCGACAGCAAAGTTGAGAGAAAAACAGGGATGGAGTTCCTAGCAGCTGTAGCCTTCTATGTTCGTGTTTTTTCAGGCGCTATGCAGAAAAGTTCACGAGCAAAATGATGTTTTCGTTGAGTGCATCGCAGTTCTTTGTGCCCTGGTGGTAAAATTCTGGTCATGCTTGACACCCGCCTCTCTTTAAAAAAAGGTCAACTGTTGAGGAGATCACCATAATAAGTATACCATAGTATGCCTCTCTTTGGTCCCTGTTTCGGCCCACCAAGTCTGCCCGGCCACCCACCCTCCGACCCCGCACTCGACAGCACCACGACATGAGACCCCGAGATCCGTCCGGTCCTGAGATCCGCTGCGGAGCTGGGACAGACTTGGGCTTCCTCCACCAAGTGGGCCAAGGATGTGCCTCGTTCGTTGAAATCGGGCTTTCACCGCTGGGGTTTGGGGGGGGGGACAGGGGGTTTCTCTCCGTCCCGAGTGGGATAGGATTGGTCATGCTCCTTTCCCTGTCTCGACAGCAGGTAGGGCCCCCAACCAGGACCCAGCACCTTCAGCGAGAAGAAGTTGAAGGCCAAACCAAGCAAGCTGAAGACGATGAGAAAGATCTGCGTGTTGTAGAACCTTGGCCAGAAACCAAGAAGGACATGATTTATGTGGAGGCGAATGTCCTGAACATGTTGCATCGCTTTGAGCATAGCACAATTGAAGGCCGATGCCCAAATCATCCTGCTTGGAATCCAGCGTTGCTTTCACCAGCCTGCACTCTGCCGCAGGTGCGTCTACGAATGTATGGCAGCTAAGGTCAAGCATGCCTTGGAAGAATGGGCGTTGGCACCATGAAGTATGTCATGTTGTCCTCTTTGCTGAAACATGGTCAAAAAATCAATTAATAAAGCCCCCCAAATGAAGAGGTCAATCAAAATAGATCCAAATAGGTTTCTTTTTTTGATTTGCATGACTCAAGAGTCAACGTCCTATGGTTATTCTATGGTTCTTGTCAGAACCTCTTGCTTCCTCCCAAGAACGCCGTGGATCTCCCCGAACCGGCACCTCTTCACCCTGCTCTCAGTGTGCTTCCCGGCCCGGCGCAGGGACTCGAACTTGATGGACGCCTGGCTGGAGCGACGTCACGGGCGCGTGGTGGCCCTTCTTCGGAACGGGGAGCGGAGAACCAGTGGAAACATGGAGAAACGGAGCCTCCATTTTCGAGTTCTTTTGGAAGAACGGAATGGAGTGGGCTGTAGGACTGGCGGTGGGTTGCAAAAAAAGACAGGAGATATGTCAAACTGGAAAGACGGATGTCTCCTCTTCCGGAGGTCCAAAGCGACTGTCCAGCAAAAATGTTCAGTTCAAAGCTCTGGCCTGAAGACTTGTCATGAAGCCTTGCCTTGGCACAGAAGCGGAGTCGCGAGAGGGGTCGATGGAGGCGAAACATCCACCAGGGCCAGCTTGCGGCAGGGACTGGCACCGCCCAACAAATTCAGAATGGCCGAAAAAAGGGACAGTATTATTAATGTTGAACCATAATAAATAACAATAAAGAAGACAGAATTTCAATAAACCTCATATGAATTTAATTAAGAAGAGTCCAAAGATAAGAATTATAAATCCCAAGGAAATAATATAATTGATGGTGTACCAGAGCAAATGGATTAGAGAAAAGTAATTAAGAATGAAATAATAATATCTTTTCCATCTTTTATAAAATACAGGGAATAAAATAATACAATGATGATAGGGAAAATATAAATTATGAATAAAATGAAGAGATAAAGAATATAAAATAATATGCATGTTATGTGAATAAATTAAAGTTAATGGATGAATTAAAATCCTATTATTACCTTTGGCAACTCAAGAGCAAATAAAATACGAATGCCAGATAGAACTTAAATTAAGATGATAGAATAATAATGATGGTTAAAAAATAGTTGATGATAATAAATAATGGACCATAAGATCTAGAAATGCATTCCCTAACCGATAGAACTTATTTTAATAAAAGATGATTGTAAAAGAGAATTAAATATTAAATAAAAGGATTGAATGGTGAATATTATCTCCTAAAAATAAAGGGTTCTTGTAATCCATCCCTTGCATCTTATGGTTCAGGAAAGATATGGAAATAGATAAGAGATTATTGGTCCATTAATAATTAGATATGATCTTATTCTTCTTATTTGACTTTAAATTCCCTAAGGAATAATATGAAGTGGAAATATTAATGTAAGAAATAAATATATACCATTGAAATAAAATAAAGAGATAGTGGGCTAGATGAGAGTAAGATAGAAATAAATGCTGTTGTAGCCATTAAATTTAATGCAAAATACCTTAATAAATTTAATGGCTGATAGAAATAATGAATGACAAGGAAGGTCCCAAATTAAGGAAAGAAGGAAAGGGGAATGTTGGACCTTCCTTGACTGGCGGTTGAACTCAGAGAATGATTCGCTAGTACACGGTCAACCGCCAGGCCAAGAGCAGGGGGCCCCAGATCCAAGAAGGGGCCCAGATGTGACCAGGCTGTTACCAAAGGCGTGAGTTCTTCATCCAAGTTCTCAGGGTCTTGTGTTCCAACCTTACAGACGCTTCCACAGCATTTATTTCTTTCTTACTCTCATCTAGCCCACTATCTCTTTATATTATTTCAATGGTATTTATTTATGTCTTACACTCACAAATTAGGAGTCCAAGCCAAAAAGAATCGAATTTGCTTTTCAACAAAGCACTCAGGTCTGAGGATGTCCGAGGTCCGAGGTGCAAGCTGACACACGGAAAGGGTCCTATGATGTGCGACAGTCGTCCTTGACCAAGCAGAGCCTGACGACACTTTCGCATCCTACATGTTTCACCTCCAACTCCACACCACCAAGCTGCGAGATGGCCTTCTCGTTGTGCTTCTTGTCCTGGCAAAAACACTCACCGGGGGTGTCGCCCCCCCAACGGCGTTCCTTTTGCCTCCCGACAATGTCTTTTTTCAGACTCCGGAGATCTCAAAACCAATGAATGCAGAACGACATCGATTTCTTGGGGACGTGCTCTTCATTGAGATACGAAGCAAACCCAAAAATGCATAGAGCGGTGAGTCAACTCCCCAAGATAACTGTTGGCATTCGTTGATGTTGGGACCTCCACATCCGAGATCTTAGGAAGCGACAAAATATATCCATTGCAGCCCTTTGCAGGATGCGGAAGGAATCCCTTTAGAAAAGCCAAAGCAAGCCCTGGATGGGTTGCATCTTTGCCCCTCCGAATCGATAATTTAGACAACATCAACACCCGCAAATACAGGAATGAAGTGTCCAATGATGTGATGGCAGTCTAATGGCAACAACTTTGATGGTTGAGTGGGGGTCTTCAGTATGAATGCATAGGCAACTATTCACTGAGACACCCATGAATAATAGACCAACACATCTCTGTTTGCACACAAATGGCACCAGGCCTGTGGCGTTTGTTCTCGATGCTGAGCCATGTTCACCTTGCTTCGTGGAGCAGCACGAATCATTAGTCTTCAATTAATGGGAGTCAAGTCTTTCCCCTAGTGTGTCCCACTTTCCCCAAGTCCAATCAAAACCAAACAAAAGTTGTCAAAAGCCACACCAAAACGACCAGTTGTCTCATTCACGTCGGCGGAGCCACCACAGCCACATCCGAGGCACCGCCGACTTCTCCTCGTAGGTCGCTTGAAGGAGTGTCGACTGAGGCGTGAGCGGTGGGCACCGCCATCGGGTGTAGGGGATGTACACACCAATGAAACAAGGCGGACCGTGAGATGTGCAGCATGAGAAGGTGTGGTATAGAACTCTGGTGCTTCTTGAACTCCCAGTTGCATCGTTCGTCAATCTACGCACGTCCTCCAATGTCTAGTGTCCAATCACCTGCACACTGCCCAAGTGGAGTGAATCGAAAGTCCTACCCCACGCTGCTGGAAGCAGTGGAATCTAGAGATTGGTAAGCCCGGCATGAATTCCCCAGATTGGCCATTCCCAAAGCGAACCAATGCTAGGGGATTGGTTCGGATCCAGATTTCTGAGAGAAGCAGGTATACATATATATATAGTTATCAAGGATTGTTCGTGTTGTTCACTTCAGCCGCTTGGAGACGAAGGTACTTGTAACATCTTGTAACTCCGCTTTCCTAGCTGACGAGCTTGCCCAGCTGCCTCCAGGTTCACCGTGGTTCCGTGCTTCATCTTCTTCCTGCGCGCGAGTCCCCGCTGCGGTCGACCAAGCGGTCGAGATGGATCGTCGGGTCCCGGCGCAGCCCGAAGATAGACCACCAAACCGAATGGAACGATGGTCAAAACGGAACCTCAACGGACGTGATGTGCTGCGCATCCTTCAAAAAGCGAACACTGATCATATAATATCATATACCTCTACCATTGGTGAGCTGCGGATCCATCCTGTGCAAACAAGAAGGTCCTTGTGAGCTTGGCACATTTGAAGATTCCCAAAATGATCCCCCACATGTAAAACCCCGCACCTTCATGGAGATTCAATATTTTTGGTATGCGGCATGCGTGTTTAGATTTGTGCCAAACTCCTGCAAATCTTTGGACCACCCCCTCCACTTGGCAATGGTGCGACCGACTGCATGTTCGGACGGGTCATGCTCTCTCGCGCGGCCACAAAGCAGGTGCCCAGCAAGATCAACGTGATCAGTGCCACAATGATCTGGGTCGACACCAGCAGTTGGGTGAAAGGGTGAAAGGTTGGCTGAGTAGGATGGACCAATATCCTGATGTAGTGTCGGCTGAGTAGGATGGACTCAGGAGGATGGACTGGTGATGTACTTTTCTCAAGCAGCACGTGCTTAGAGGTTGTCTAGGTCCCTGTAGAATTATGACCAGCAAGCAAACGTCCAACGACTGCCAAAGAAGGACAAAGAAAGGTGCAGGCCTGCACACTCTTTAATCACTGGGACTCTTCTGTATAACTGTAACTTCTGTAACTTCTTTGGAATGAATCAAGAAAAGCAAGGAGAACTTGAAGTACAACAGGGCAGCCGAATACGAAAGTCCAATCCTGAATAGGTTTGTCTCTTGTCGCTCAAATGGTTGATTCGTGCTGCGACATATAATCTCTTACTCTCCAAAATCTGAGTTGCTCGGTTCAGCACGTCTTTCTTTCGACAAGCGTCGAACATCAACACATAGGTGACGAGAACAATGGTACTTTGCCCCCAGACCACGCATTCCTCAGCTCTTGAGCTCAGCTCAGACTGCGGACAAGAGCTCAGGCCACCCAGCAGGGCTTCTGCTGTACCCCACAGCGGTCTGGTGGATGAGAAGCAAAACCCCTGTCTGATGAACATATTCTCTTGCCAGTGTCTACAGGGCAGCGCCAGGCATCACATTCTTCTACGCAACCTATACTTTGCCCTATTTATATCTATTTATACCATTTGCGTAGCTGGATGCTATACTACAACTCGCCTACCGCCCATTGAGAAAGCTGCATAATTGCTCGGATGCGTGCACAGTGTCACACTTGGAGCTCTACAACCTCTATCCCTTCTGCTACACCTTCTGCAACAGGTTTTAAATGCTTTTGGGGTATTAATTTCTTGGATTCTATCTCTCTTCATATCCATCTCCGAGACTCCTGAGTTCCATCGGGACGTTCCACCAGTTCGAAGCCATCCTCGGTCTCCCGAGACCCGCGTGGAAAGTGAGGAGAGTCATTTTTGCCGCTGCCGGTCTGATTGGCCAACCAAAGTGCTATCAACCACCTCTTCAAGTGAACTACACCTTAAGACGATCTTAGACGCTCACCCTTCGCCATCATCGGTTCTTTCTGCCCATCCATGCACATGCAAGCACCGGCCTGATTCACTTGCCAGGCCCGAATGCATCCCACGTTTCGCCAAGGATCAAAGCAAACCTGGCACTTCGCTAGACCATCTTTGCTGGGAAAGGTGCACATCTTGCACGCAGTCACATGGCAAGAGGTGCCTCCGCTGACGGTCCCGTCGCTTCCGAGAGTCCGTCAGATTGCTTGCTGGACCGAGCAGACAGCGAAGCACTTCAGCGACTGCCAAGGCGCACAAATGGGGATCCTCAAAGGTGTTGACCCCCGGCTTCCGCGGGTTCAGCTTGGCGCAGGAGGCCACCGACTCTACACAGCTCACCAAGCCTCGGCGACCGGTGTGGGGCGACCGGTTTGGGGGGATGACCGTCGCTCACATCGGCGCCGCTGGACCGCAGATTCAGTCGATTCGATTCCGGTATGTTCGGAACGGCGTGCGGAACCGGAACAGCCGGGCCAATCGCTCATCTCACCAAGGAACATGAATAGCCCAGCGCAGGAACTGCAATGGGGCATTTCCCACCCTGGACAGTTAGTTGGTGCGCACAGGATGTGTATCTGTGTTGATCACCCTGCATCGCGCCATGCACATTCCTGCTCTTGGTGCTATCATTGGTTAAAAGTCGGTTTGAAAGGCCCCTTGAAGAAGCCAACGCCAGGAACCCTCCAACCCCAACTGAGACGACCAGTCTCCCATCTCGATCGAGGCGTCCCTCCCAACGTGGAAAACAACGCCCCCCGGCCGTGAGCTTCTCGCAGGTCGTCTCTTCTTCGCCCTGGAAGGCTGGGGCACCGAGACGACGGTGGCGGCGAGACGACGGTGGGTCCTCGTGATTTGAACGTCGGCCATGGGGAAAGAACGAAAGAAAACAAACATGTGACACAAGGAAGCCAAAGGTGCTGGGACCTGTAGGGAGAGCTTCTTTTTGGTGCAAATAAACTGCTTCAAGACAAGGATTTGGATGTTTACCGGTCCTGCTAGACTTTCGCCCTGGCCAACAATCAGATTGCAAGGGCCCCTCTTTTTCAGACTGCTTTACGCCTGTGCACGCAATTCTGGGGCTGTGGAACATCTGCGAATTGAACACTCACTTTGGATCATCCTTCTTGTCTGAGCTGTCTCCATCCTTCTTGTCCTGCGAACTGCCACCACTAACCTCCTTCAATGCTTCTTGGATGCGCTCATCATTGATATCCACACCAGGCAAGGAACCAAGCAACTCTTGGACGAAAGAGGGATCTTGTAGCCATCTGGAATCTAGAACTGCATCCCCCTCTGTCGTCGGCTTCTTCTCTTGAGGCTCCACACTCGGCTTCTCTGTCTCCATTTCCTCCGCCTTCCTCTTGGGTGCCTCTTCCGGCGCGGACGCGGCAGGTGTGGACGTGGCAGGCACAGGATCCATCTCTTGCATGGACAAGAGCAAGGCCTGTCGCAACTCATCATCCATGTCCTCCAAAGTCGAGTCTTCGATTGGCATTGTGATGGCTACGACTTCCAGAGCAGACTCAAAAAAAAGGTTTGGGGCAACTACATCATTGCCCCTAAAGAATGCTCGTCTACCCTTCAAAGATTTGCTGGGGAGGGCAAAATTCTCTGCTTTTGCCCACGGCTTAGTCTGGTCATCCCAACATAGCTGTTCTATGATGGACAAGGGGGTTGAAACCCCCTCAAAATGAAATAGAATCAGAGTAGCCAAGGCAGAGAACACAATATGAAAAACAGGCGAAGCCAAGCTTAACAGAAAAGGACCTCTCCCAAAAAATCTCTTGTGGCCAAAGTCCAGAACTTCCAGTTTGGGGGTAGCCAAGCATTGGATAATTCAAAGTGATCATTTTGGATCCAAATCCAGCTGTGATGCCTTCTTCTCCGAGGGATGGATTGGGGTTTAAGTGATTTTGCTTGCTGAAGCTGCTGGTTCACTGGGCCCTTTCAGTTTCCTGAGCCTTCTCTATTTCCCTACCCTCTTCAAGCGAAGTTGATTAATCAAATCATTGGGGCCAAGATTTGTGCAATTGTTCATTGATGGCGTGGATGGGTTTAAGTGATTTCATTTGCTGAAATTGCTGGTTTACTGGGCCCCTTCAAATTCCTTTGCCTTTTCTATGTCTCTGCCCTTTTAAAGCAAAATGTTGAGTATATAATAATTGGCACCTAAGCTTTGTGCATTTGTGCATTGTTGGATTGGCTGGGCATTGTGGTCACGATGACCACCATGAGTTCACAAGAAAAAGCTGAAACTTTGACAAGTGTTGGACAAACGATCGCCCGAACTTTATCATAATACTGTTTGACGAAGTGGGCTCAAACAGACAAGCTGACAAGCGGTTGTGTCGGCCAGTTTTTTCAACCTTCCCCTCTTGGCAGCCGAGAGTACTTAAAAAGGGTACCATCCCTCCTGCAACTTAAACCGGGGTGCCAGCCCCTTTTTGTTGAACATCACCGTTTTCGGGGCCAACCCCATTACACACATCTTGGACAAAATAAATCAACCCACCCCAACCCCCCCTCACTCCTCAGGCAAGATTTAACAAAATGATAAAATGGGTCTCCAAGGCATGGGCTCAAGCATCCCCTTTGTATTTCTTGAGTCGGCACGGTTATCATCCTAACATTCTTGCAACACGGCCACTCACCCCTACAGTCTCCCTCCTCCATGCCCATGGCTTCCATGACTGCCGCGTCGGGTGCCACCGGCAAGGACGTGGCCGCCGCCGGCTCCGCTGCCGCCGGCGCGGCCGCCGCCGCCGGCGCGGCGGTCT